CTTATATTAGACCCTCACTTGCTCCTAAATGCTGACTTTTCAAACTTAAAGCTCAATTGTTAAAAGTGAGTTGTCAAATGTCAAAGCTTTTAAGTCCTAAGCCCAAGATGAGATAATAACCCTGATGACTTCATCAGGGTTATTTTTTGGAGCTTTGGAAAACTTCAGAGCCACAAAAGGCGTGATACAGATGTTTTCACAAGGCTGAGTAGGACCAACCATGACAGATAAACTGAACCTCATGAGTTAAATCAGTGGAATGGATATATATATAAAAATGTGAGTTTTGCTATTGCTACATAGCTATTATTAGCATTAACAGCTGTTTACTTACCAGTCTGGAAGAAATGTTGTGAGTTCAAACTTAATTCCTTTACTCACCAACAGCTGTGGACGTATTATAATCTCTCGTCTTGTAAACACAACTATGGCTGAAGCGCTCACCACCACCTGCTCCCGGCAAGAATCCATGTTCAGCGCCAGAGAAAATTTAAAAACAACCCCTTTAATATTATGTTGCACTATGTTGCAACAGTTTTCAAAAACATACAGGTCTCAAATCAAAGTTTACATGGTTAGTCACAGATGCATTTGAATGCTCTTTGCTCTGTTGAAACATGACCTTCGCTGCTCATTTCAACCAGTACATGTGAGGAGAGGCTCTAGCTTCATTATCCTTGAATAAGTGCATAGAGAATGTACATTATATATGAGGGACAGATGAATGTACTGTATCTATGTATGGACTTATGACTGCTTTGGGGACTGAACTTGAATTTGTTACCCATCTTTAAGCAGTAACCCACCTCTCATAAACAGCTGGATTTGGCCCAGATGCCACACCTGAGTTCACTTCAGAGACTTTGTTGCTTTAAGGCTGACCAGTAGGAGTTTTGATTATCTTGTATTTGAACAAATGTCAGGCCATAATCCTTTCACATTAGAGCACTTTTGAAGCTTTGCTTAAGCACGAAAGTATTCTCATTGATCTTCTTATTTGCTTTTCAGTCATGAAGGACCATTAATCAATATATTAGACTCTTTATTTACACACTACAGAGGGTGGAGGAGACTCCGTCACATGATTGAGGTTAAGTCAAAATGATCCTGTTTGTTTCTCCATTAGTTTCACAGAACAAAGAGTGCAGGTGTTTTTCTGAGCTGACAGATTAGTGGTTGTGGTACTTTTCTGATCTAGATTCATACATCATGAGTTCACTCTGACAAGTGCTTTATTACAGTGGCTCAGAGCTCTGAAACTATAGGTGGTCTGATGGCAGATGAAAACACAGAATGAATCAAGGTAACGATATCCATGTTTTGTTACCATGTTTTTGTTGCTTCTTGTGTGACCATGGGAAGAATGAACCTTTTTAATAACTACTCAGTTTTATCTCAACAATGTAAGAAGAAGACAAGACAAGACAAGACAAGAGAGCAGCAGCTACATGACAGTTCTCACCCCATCATTTCCACTGTCTGAATCCCAGTTACAGTAGTACTCTGGTCCAGCTTGTTGTCGTCTTCTGGTTAAAACAGCCCACTCAGCAGATCTGATCCTGAACTGTACCAACAATCATAGTCTGATTGGACAGCTGAATCAGCAAAACAGAAACCAAACAAAGTCGACAAGCAGCTGACTTCAGTGTGTAAGGAGCCACCCAGCACAGCACAGACACTCGTCAACTCATGTCATCATACTGATACTAATCTAATCCTGAAGACTGCAGTGCTGGAAGTGAACATGGAGGTAAATGGACTGTGCATGAATGACACCACTTTACCAGGAACTTACAACAATAGACAGGAGCATGCTAACACACAGCTAATTAGCATGAACAAGACTATGAAGAAACAGGAGCACTGTGAGCCAGATAATAAACTAAAAGTGGCAGTCATCCCTGGAGCTCTAACAGTAAATGATTTCCTTGAGGAAAGGGAGGAAGAGGCAGAACCAAAGACTGTAAATAAAGATGGACATAGCCTCCTTGATGTCACTCACAGGTTTCAGAAGCTCAGTGAGCTGCTCACCGTCGCCATCTTTGAAGTGTCTGACTCTGCCCTTAACACCTAGATAATCCAAAAATGGGCAAAGAGGAGGGGCATGTGAGACCTGTATGCTGGTTTGAAGCAATCATACAGAAATGCACCTGTCACTCAAAGTGACACGCTCTCAATTCTCCATAACTTCAAGCCTCAATAAAATGTAAACAGGTGAGTTATATAAACAGGTGTCATGAAGGAGGAAATTAGCTCTAGAGACCAAAACTGTTTTGTACCAGGCTGTAAACATGTTTATTTCTGCTGTAAAGTTGGACATTTTATGATGTCTATGGGAATTGACTCACTGTTGGAGCCAGACACTAGTCGGGAACTGCAGTTTTTGGCACTTCCATGTTAGTTTCATTTTTCAGCACCAGAGATTGCAGATGGGCAGAACCAAGTGCCCCGAGATTTGTGATGAGATTGGCGGGCCTGCATCATCATTCTCCTCAGCTGTGGACAGCTGTGAAAGGGAGAGAGAGGAACAATCATCCTGAAAAACTGAACGTACAACTACTGCAGGTCCCTGGGTCTCTGTCTGATGACCTGGATAACCTCTCATCTCACAGAGAGGGGTAAATCAGAAAGTAGAAGGCTACAGGGAAAGCCAAATACACTGCTTTCCCATGGATACTTTCTCTGATATGACAGGAAGAATCCTGCATATTGTGGCTGCACATTCAACTGTGAAACACATCACACTGCACACAGGGACCAATGATGTTTTGAGGACGATGTTTAACTTCATTGAAGCCCCCAGAGTTGGTAAGAAAGGAGGAGGAGTAGCTGTTATGCTTTCAGACGTGTTTCAGTTTAGGCAGGTGTCATCTGGAGCAGAGTGTGAGTTATATAATGATAAGGGAGGTCAACTTTCTCTCTGGGGGAAAAGGAAACCAGTACAGTGCTTCAGTGAACTGAAGTTTTAGTTTTTCCTCTGAAATGTAGTAGAGTGAAGGTATAAAGTGGCATAAAATGGAAATACTCAAGCAAAGTACAAGTACCTCAAAATTGTACTTAAGTACAGTAGTAATTAGTAATAGTAAGTGGTAATAAGAAGTAACTACTTAATAGTATCTTAAGGCTAAAGTTAGATACTAGCTAACATTAGTTAGCTAAACTGTAACTTAAGGTTTAAGTTAGAAACTAGCATTCACGTTCATCTTGACACAATATAATTCAGGAACTCTGAAGTTATGAAAGTAAAGTGTATTGAACAAGCTAAATAGTTGTGTCTACCCGACACATGGGAGCAGAGACTTGAGGACAGAGCCATTGAGACGGGCAGATGAGAAATCCAGCTAACGTCAAGGTTCAGAAATGGTATGGTATCCTGCTGCTGTACTTACTACTGCACTGTGTTTGACTCCTGATTATAAACAGACCGTCAAAGTATTCTGCCAGTTTCTTTGATGACTAATCTATATTAGGAGATTTCAACATTCATGTTGACAACCCCAATGACAACAATGCTGAAGAACTTTATAACTTACTTGACACCTTTGGACTGACTCAAATGTCTCTGGGCTCATCCACAACCAGGGCCATACCTTTGATTTATTTATCACAAAGGGTCTAAAGTCATCTTTCTACTGATGTTGCTCTGTCTGATCATCTTTGCATTTTCTTTGAAATGTCTCTTACTCCTGACACATAAGATCAGAATATGTGAAGAAAAACAAACAAACGACATATATCAGCGAGAATGCTGGTCCACTGTTTATGGAGGCCCTTAACCTGTCACCAACTCCTACCTCAACTCTGTTGATGATCTCCTAATAATTATGCCTCTGTGCTGACGACAGGTCAAAACAGCTTGCAGTAGAAGAACTTTATTATTAGATTATCAGGGTTCAGCAACAACCATGGCTAGAGGCTTTATGTTTTCAGGTTGTCTGTCTGTCCCATTCTTGTGAACGGCGTGACAAAACTTCTTCAAGTTTGGCACAATCATTCACTCAGACTCAGGGATGGATTAGATTTGGTGGTCCAAGGTCAGAGTTCAAGTTCACAGTTTTGACCTTGTGAATTCAATATCTCAGGAACTCCTCAAGGGAATCCTTTTAAATGTGGCACAAATTCACAAAACACCACCTCACAGGATATGTTTTTGGCCTTTTGAATGTGATATCTCATAGAGGGAATTTCTTCAGAATTGACACAGACATTCACTTGGACTCAATGAACTGATTAGATTTTGGTGGCCAGAGGTCAAAGGTCAAGGTCACTGTGACATCAAAAAACTTGTTTTTGGCCATAACTAATTAATTCAAACACTAATTATGACACAGTTTAACACAAATGTCTAATAGGATAAAATGATGAAGTGATAATATTTCATACCCAAAAGGTCAAAGGTCAACTTCACTGTGACATCATAATATTCCAAAAAACACTTCTGGTCATTATTCAATGCTGTAACTCAGGAAGGAGAGACTGTGACCATATTTCCTGCAACTTGACTGGTTGTCAGAAGCAAACAACTACGAGGTGTTGATTGTAGTTTAATTCTAAAATAGTGAATGTTGTTGGTGTCATTGCACCTGTTAGAATGAAATTAACTTCTGGCAAGCAAAAAGCACCACAGAGAAATGCTGCATCTGTAAAAATCCAGAAAAAGAGGCAGGAAAGCTGAGTGTAAATGGTGAAAAACTAAGAGAGTCTCCACTCCTATAATATGGAATTAAATTTTTTTTCCTCTCAAATATCATCAATAAAAACATTAATGCACACATTTCATCTTTTTGGAGTTTAGAAGAAGCTTTATTATAAAAGAGAGTCTGGGAAGAATGTAACCTGGAGAAGGTCTGGTCTGTGGTAGAGATGAGGATGTAGAAGATGATATCATCAGCATATAAATTCACATTGTAATGCCCAGTTGGAAAATTTATATTTTTGAATCAGTATTATTGCTAATAAAGACTGTATGATGATCTCAATAACTGTGCCTGTGTTTGCAGGGATGGCCCCACAGCCACAGTCACGTCGGTCTGAAGAAAAGGGGCCGACATGAGCAGGACACACTAAATGAAGAGTACCATGTGATGTCTGTACCGACATCCAAAAATGACACGGAGTTCTGGAAGCGCCCCCGCTGTGGGGTCCCAGACTATCCCACCTTAACGAAGGTTGACCTGTCGTACTACAACTTAAAGAAGAAGGGGAACCTGAGCAGACAGCAGCGCAGGAAACGGTTTGCTCTGTTTGGAGGACGCTGGGAAAAGACTGACCTCACTTACAAGTAAGAAGAAACACAAATATTCAGTCTGTCAGTGCATTGGTTTATGAAGTTATGTAGTTGTTTACCACTGCTTTGGTCACTGGCTTTTAATCATGATTGCACATGCTGCACTACATGCACAGATTATATAATTAGACAAGTGGTCTGTGTGGAGGGAGGCTGACTTTAGTTTCTCTGGGTTTATTTAGTGAGTGGAATAATTCATGTTTCCAATATAAATACTCATTTTAAATTAAAACGATTACAGAGTACAAGATTATTTAGCTCCGTGGAAATCTGTGCCTCTAAAAGTCTAACTGTCTCTCCTTCTCCACTGCAGCTAATAGACAGCCCCTCTCTGTAATTTGTCTTGAGGGTTTCATGACCTCCAGAAAAACAAACCCAGTTTATGCGAGAGGAGTTCAAAGCAAAGCAGATGGCTTTAGTTTGGTATGGACCTCTGAAACCAGAATGGGAGGGGGGTGGAGATGGCAAGCTAATGGTTACTCACAGTAGAATGTGTTTACATTTTAGCTATTACACCACAGGCACGAGGACTTGTGGTGCAGACTGTTTGTAGTTTAATTTGTCAAAGCAGCAAAATGAGCAGAGTTGTAGCCGCCTCGTAAAACATGGAATCACCCTTGAATTAAAAGCTCCACGGCTTAGTTGTTATTATAGTTAGTTATTTATGTGTTTACCAGGACGGTCAGTGTGATGAAACAGAGCTGTGCATCAAGTCAGCACTGCAGTATTGTGTTTGGGTGCATGTGATGACAGTACTGTACACAGACTAGAACAGGCTGAGAAAAGAGTCTCTGCTGGTCTAACTGAGTGTGTATAGTGTCTGTGTGAGAGAGGAGGCACTTTGTGAAACTGTCTTCCATTAACTGTAGTCACTCATGCAGGCGTTTAGCTTACAGGATTAGATTTACAGAAAAAACAAGCTCAACTATAATACGACTTTAGAAAAGATGACTTTGATCTTAAAAAATACTTAAACGACTCTTATATTGACAAAGACAAAGTGGTTGTTAATAAAGCTAAACCAACAGAGAACTACCTCCTCACTCTCAGTGTTCAGAGTCATTCAGCTCATTGTTTTGTTTCACATCCCCAAAACTTTACTGTTTTGGTTCAGTGTTCTCAGCTCTGCTCTGCAGCAGCAGGCAGCTGTTTTCAATAATAAAAAACCCCCCTGATAAACCCACCGTAAACCGTGCCCTGCAACAAACAGCATGCAGACAAACTCAGCAGCAGCCAGTGGACAGAGTGGAGCATCAATGCAAATTGTAGCTCTTTTTCCCCTTGAATGAGTAAGAGAAACTGACGTTTACAGTCTCAAGTCCAAACTAGCAATCTAAAGCAACAACAGCAACAAAACAAGACCAAGACTCATGGTAGCAGCTGTGTGGAGCTGTACGTTGGCAGAGATGATGAGTAGGCAAACAACACCACCGGAGCAAGACTGAAGGCATCAAGGAGGCAACGAAATCCACCTCCAGGTTTCAGTGCTTTGGCCTTAGCTGGGCTCCACTGTGAACACAACCAGCAGGCATCAAGGCCTGTGGCTCCCATGGATGAAATTGTAAACCAACATTAACACTGTGTGTTTTACAAGTTTATCTTAATGTCCTTCTTCAGCTGCTAATGTGGGTAAAAACATCACTGGTGTAGGTCTGTGCTTCAATCACAACACAAATGTAGAAGATTAGTGTGTGTTGTGTTAGTGGAGTTTATTGAGACAGTAAACACAGTGAGCGAGTTATTGAGCCCCAAACACTCCATCACCATTGTACATATACCATTGTAGCGTCATCTCTGTATCCAAGAGCAGAAATTCATAAACTACCTGGAGGTTATTTGAACTAGTTTTGTGCGTTTTCCTCTCACAGCAGCACAAACAGCTCAACGTCTGTTTGGGGTGAGGGGAGTCCCTTCACGCCGTCAGTGGCACTCGCCGTAGGTAAAGAGGTTCATATTACGTCCTGCATGTCGTGTCTGAGCTCGTCCACACAGCTGCACATTAAGAAAGAGTCCGTTCTCTAACCAGTCTGTTAGCACAATATAATGAGATTAGCACTAAGGAAAACGACTGCCATGAGCCATGTGTGATGTAGTGAGGGGTCACCGCTTACCAGGGCCTCAACATGGGGAGGGCCTTCATAAAGCCTGGATTAAAACAATGCTTTTAGCTCTAACCTTTAAATATGACATTATTAGCATGATAAATAATCTGTTACTGTTGGTTGAATCCATAATTTGACTGTTTCTTTTTGTAATAGCAATTTTCATTTGTTCATCCAATTTCCAATCTTGCCATTACTTGCACAGGAGGAGCAGCAGTTGTCTTTACGCAGACCCAAAAGACAGAATTAATGTCCAGTCAATCCTTGCAGGTTTAATTGTCGTTTATTGACATAATGCCGAAGGTTTCAAACATATCACTTTTTTCTTTACAGGTGTTGTTCCTTTGTTCTTTCTGCCTCAGGTCTGGTGAAATCTTGTGTGGTTTCCCATTTCCTGTGCCTACCTACTTCCTCCCACCTATACCCAACATATATCCTGTGTGTGTCTCCCATTACTGCCACCGTGTGTCCAAATCAATAATGAAATCTAAAGCCAAAATAAAAAAATAATAAAAATAAGATAATCTGCCAACACTAACTAAAACTGCTCCTACACTTTTATTTAAAACAATATTAAAGCTCCTTAGAAATGCCCCCCTTCTGGTAGGTTATGATCAACACAGTCTCACTCCCAACTCAGTACATACAGACGCTGGGTCATGGACCTCTCAGAGACTTTTTAACTTGCTAGATACTATGATTGGCAGGTGTATAAGCACACCAGCCGTCACCCCGTCAGACCAGGGTTTCCATCCAGAGTCCTGTCTGTGGTTTAGGCAACAAAATGATTTGGAAAGTGATTTTGTTAAGGTTAGTGAAATATTATATTTTTGTTTTGTTGGTTAAGGTTTGGGATAGATTGTAGTGAAAAGCTGAATCATTTACAGAAACATTCAGTGGTGGTTTTATTTATTTATGATTAAACCAGCAGCACAATTAAGCGTGCTAATAAAGTTAGGGGTCATCTTCTGAAGCCAGTGTATGTAAAGGAGGAAATGATGTCGAAGAGAAAGACTAAGTCCTGCTGAATCTAAAACTATGTGCATCATGTCTGTGTGTTCACATGGGACTGATCTGTAACTCAAAGAAGGGAAGAGGGTTTATTGATTATTCTTTGGCTTCAACCAAACAACAACAACAACAACAACAAATCATATTGGCTGGTTTGACTGTGTGAAATATCAATAAGCAGAGAGCATGGGACTTAATAGTATGTAATGTAAGTGTAATATAGTAGCCTTTAAAATGAGATGTAGTCTCCTGGAGGAGCAGCATCAGAGCTGGTGACACCAGGTTGGCTCTGACTGCAAACCCAGAGAGCAGGACACTGTACAAACTGTCATCCATTCTGGATAATCCTGAACACCCTGTCCACCTCCTACTGGACAGGCAGCGGAGAACAGGTGCTGACAGACTGATACAGGAACTCTCAGCTTCTATCTATCTATCTATCTATCTATCTATCTATCTATCTATCTATCTATCTATCTATCTATCTATCTGTCATACCAAGTTGTGGTATGAGTATATAATTGTATAATATTAGTAATATAATATTAATGATATAATAATATTTTTATATTAATAATAATAAATCATTTAAAGTCTGATATGGCGGCAGTGTTGATGTGCAGTCCAGCAGTCGGTGTTGTCGGACACTGATGAATTAACTCTGGAAGTCCTACAGAAAACAAGTGAAGTACATATAATAAGTCTGTGGAGGGACAGTTACTGTCCACAATCAGGTAGTGATGATTTCATTGGTCATACCTGTCATTCCATTTGTTGGAGAATTTTGACAAGGTCATTTCACAAAAATCAGGGAGGGGGAGCAGAAGCCTGAGTGTGAGGAGGACTGAAACTCAGGATGTTTGTGTCTGAGAGCGGGCAAACACTTATGACTGTCTGTGAGAGGAGGCAGGGTGTGGAGGGAAAGCATCACAAAATCTGAACGTGAAATGAATAAAGACAGGAGAGAAACTCCATATTGTTTACTCACATACTGTACAACCCACCAGCTGCAGGAAGTGGACAGGATATGAGACCAAATCTTAGCGGCAGATATTGACAGTCAAAAGGTTGACATCACATCCTTGGCAGGAATTCACTTATAGGATACAAATATGTTTTTCATGAGTGCTCTCTAATACGGCATGTTATGTTTGTGTGTGTGTGTGTGTGTGTGTGTGTGTGTGTGTGTGTCCAATAGGATTATGCGTTTCCCCTGGCAGATGAGTGAGGACAAAGTGCGGCGTGTCTTCCAGGAGGCGTTCGGTGTCTGGAGTGCAGTGACTCCACTGAGGTTCAGAGAGGTCACCACTGAGAAAGCTGACATCATTATTGACTTCAACAGGTAACAACCAGCACACAGTCAGGTTGATTATAGGCACCATCAGACACTATGATACAGCAAACATCAGAGAATGAACTGAAGAGCCAATTTAGGAGAAAGACATGTTACGTTTAAAGTGAAGAACAAGACCCCTTCATCATAGCCAATCAGAAACAAGGATTTACCAGAGCCTGCCCCAATGTCTCTTCTTTATTTAATTCTTATATTTTCAAATGTTATTCTGCAAAAGCCTTAAAAGAATAAAGCAAGTATGTTTAAGCATCTTTAAGGAATTAAAGGTCCATATAGTCTAAAGGTAGATGTCCATGTGTTGTTTGATTATAGATCAGGTCTAGGTTCTATATTAATACTGTGAAAGTATCAAAGCCTCAGTCCACAGAGAAATGCACACAGCCTGTATTCAGAAACTGAGCCTTAAAACCAGCCGTCAGGACTTTGTGATGTCACAACAAAGCAGTCACTCCTCTCAGCCATGCACCAAGCCCAGCCCACCTGGGCCCACCATCTAACCTTGCAGGATTTGGTTTCTCTGAGTGTTTTACCTGAAATCTGATATATTTTTATCAGATACCTCTGTTGTTGCTAGAGCTCCAGAGAGAAGCCTGAGAGAGGAGATATAAAACTACACTGAGATGGTTTTTGGTTCTTTGGATCAACACTTCAGATAAAACACAGGAGAGGAGAAAATATGCAGCTTTAAATCAACAACCATCTAAAATAAAAACACTGCTGCACATCAGAGAAAGGGAATTGTAACCCACATTTCTCTATACTGAGTTCACTTTTTCAAAACTCTTTACCAACATGCAGCTCAGCACAACATCCAAATTCTCTAATGCACCAAAAGACTTGATCCACCTCCATGAGGAAAAGGGTTCCCCTGTGGTGTTGAAGAACGGAGAGGCTCAGTGAAAGTGGCAAGAAGGGAGTTCACAGAAAGGTTTAACTAAAGATAAACATATCATAATAACTAAGAGGTAAGACAGGTTATCAATGGGGTGTGGAAATCAGCAGTGCATGGATGAGGGACATGTGTGATGTGGGGGTGTTGTGTGTGCAGAGGCAAAAAAGAAAATGGATATCAGAAGTTGAAAGGAGAGAGCAAGTGACATATGTGCCAGCTTTTATAGTCTGGAAGGCCCAGGTGAACTACATCAGCTGTGGCATGCTGAGGTTGGCCAGGACAAACCTCCAAGACAAGCGGGAGGAGCGTCACAGGTGGAAGGAAAAATAACAACACCTGTGAAACACTGGGGGAGAACAGCGAAACAAACTGAACAAACCGTCTCATACAATTACAGAAGCTTCTGGATTTATCCTCACCCGCCCCTTCCTCACCTGGAACAAGTCATACAATGAGGTCATCAAGGAATGATGCATTTTCATTTTTTATTTCTTTTTAGATGTAGCATAATGTAGCAAAGGCCAGTCTACTTTAGAGTAATTTTGTGTTATGCTAGTGTTTGAACAGTTTCAGGATGGTATGTTTGGTGGTGGTTGAGTTTTAGAGCGAAAACAGTTGAATTTCCAAAGATGTGGTCACTGAATGCATTTTATGTCAAAGCAATGAAACGTTCTCCAGAGTGTAGTCCACACTGACTTGTGTTGTGTTGACTGTGTAAACTCAGTGTTGAGAAATACATGTAACCAGCTGTAGAAAGTGTAAATACAGGCCCACAGTTGGCAAAGTTTTCCATTCATCTTCTTTTGTCAGAGTGACCCGGGAAAAACTAAATCAGGTGTGTCCCTGCCATGATCAAGAGCAGATCACAAACATGAATGAACGCAAAGCGGGACTTGTTTGGCAGGATTTTAATAGCATGCCTGCAGCTACATTTTTATCAGATCGGACTAGACATTTTGGCTTTTGGTTTACAACACTTCCATGTCATAACAACTGTCTTTTTTCATACTGTATCCTCCCACATTACACACTACTGTTTCATTACTACTCTGCCAAGCAGCTTTTTAGTTTGAGTCTTGACCTGTTCAGGTTACCTTCATAACTCACTTCATAACTGCTGTTATAATCTGTTGCAATCATTCATCCTGTCAAGTCAAGAAAGCACGTCCAGTAAAGTGTAACAAAATAATAAAGATGCTCCATATTTTGAACTGATGGACTGAATGCTTAAGAGCACACAATATTTTTTTTACCTCACCCCAAATACCAAATAATAAAATTTAATATAATACTGTAATACTGTCTGTCCTGTTACTTCACGAGAGTGACATGGACAATACTGCTGGTACTGTAAATTGACCTATATACAGTTTTATTTTTTAAATACATTATCTTGTGTGACAAATCATCAGTGATATTTCCTGGGGTCAATGGGTGCTTCGGGTCTTTCAACATCAGACACCCCTACCCAGATGACCCAGCATTCTTCCACTAGCTCAGTGTACTTTGTCATCTTTCTCTTGTTGGCCTACTCAGTGTGTTCCTCCAAGGGAACAGTGAGTTCTAAGAGAATGATCTTCTTGGAGACTTTTGAGATCAGAACCATGTCTGGCCTTGTAGAAGCATTTTCTTAAGTTACTTCCCCAGGATGACTTTCAGCTCCCAGTCATGTGGTGCTGCTAGCAGGTCGAAGGAAGTAGGAAGTGGTCCTTGCAGCTTATGTTGGCTTCTCCCCATCCCTGACAAAAGCAATTATCTTTTTCACTGGACAGAGGTGGTTGCAGGGGCTAATCCCACTCAAGATAGTGTCTGCTATGGCCTTCAAGACTGGGTGCTGCAGGGTCCCTCTCTTCAAGCACAGAGGAAAAGGGTCTGCAGCTTGCATCACTCAGGGGTTCCATGCACTGTGTGGGGACAACAGGCCTGGCACCTCCTGTGTCTCACCATGGGTTGTTCTTGAGCACTGTGACACTTGCATTGTCTGCACCCGTTTCCTCTTGGCCTCGTGGATCTTCAGACCACCTTGCCACAAAAGCATCAAGTACTTGTTGCTATGTTTCCATTGCCATGCGTCGTTCAGGAAACTGTTGCTGGGAACTTCAGTTGCTTCCCCTGGTTGACTCTCAGCTCCCAGTCTTGTGCAGGCCAGTGTGGTCCTGGCAGCTGATGTTGGTTTCTCCCCATCCCTGATCAAAGCAATGGTCTTTTGTCACTTTTTATGCTTCTTGAAAATAAACTTTGAACTGGTGAGTTAATTTAACCATTTCATAAAAAGAAAGAAGGTACTGTTGCATCATAGCCCTGGGATGACAGATGAGGCATTCTAAAATCTTTAAATTATGCAATTTAAAATAATTTTTAGTCTCTAATCCTGCCACTTGGATTTCCAACATGCTAAGCGTACAGAAATGTGTGATATCACTATTTCACTTGTGCACAATAAAAGGAGTACTTGTGTAGGTACTGGCACGGGGACTCCTTACCTTTCGATGGTCCTGGAGGAATCCTGGCCCATGCTTTTTTCCCCCGGACACATAGAGAGGGAGAAGTCCACTTTGACTATGATGAACAATGGACACTAGGCAATGATGTGGGTGAGTAAGTTTGCTACTTTGAGGTAAAGGGAGGTCTTGTTTTATGATGAAGATTCTTGTGACTGCAGTTCTGTGTGCTTCATTTGAGTTCCTCATTTGATTTCAGTACAGTAATGCACTCAGCTACTAATTTTAATGTGCTTGTCCTTTATCCTTTGCTTTTCCATTCAGGCACTGATCTCCTGCAAGTGGCAGCTCATGAGTTTGGCCATGTCCTGGGCCTACAGCACTCTCTGGAGCCCGATGCTGTGATGTGTCCTTTCTACAGCGACTCCTACCCTCTGCAGCTGAGTGAGGACGACAAGAGGGGGATTCAGTACCTGTATGGCCCCCCTCAGCACACACTGCCTGAGATTTTGGAGACCAATGAGATTGACTCTGGGATGGTATGACAATGATATTGGGAAAGGACCTCAAAGCAACACTAGTTTTGTGTTTTGCAACTTCACATTTTAGTCCAGAGACAAAAATATACCTGCTGTGTATGTTGTTGTGCCGCAGCCGGATGCCTGCAGAACAAGCTTTGATGCAGTGTCCATGATCAGGGGGGAGCTGTTCTTCTTTAAGTCTCGATATGTTTGGCGCATCCGTGATGGGCAGTTACAAGCTGGTTATCCGGCCTTGGCTTCACGTCACTGGGGAGGCATTCCTGACCACATTGATGCTGCATATGAAGACAGGTCTGGCAACATCTGGTTCTTCCAAGGTTGGTCATGATACAGAAGCAAACCTGAAAAGTGTACTTGCTGCTGAAAACTTGCAGTTGAATGCTATAAAATTTGAAGTAATAGTTAAAATGGAGTTAAAGTTGTAAAAGGAGTTACATTGCCAGTCAAAGTGTAGGTTAAAAACAAATGTGTCAACGATATGGCAAGAAAGCTTATGACTTAAACAACTGATCTGTAGCATAATACGGTGTGCACTGAGGTCAGTTGGAGTTCTCAGTCAACTGAGCTACCATTACTTAACTTAGCTAACTATTATAAGCTTATAAAATCTAGGCTACTAGAGAAAGTAGTTATGCTTTTGTTTACTTATGTGTGAAATCAGGAAGTACTGGTCACTTTCTGAGGAAATACGGGAGTTAAAAACTGGATTTACTGTAAATGTCCTTTGGTGATGTAATACAAACAGTTCACGCGAGCAACGGCCAATAGGATAGTAAGTCCAACACTCAGTCAACCAATGATGTAACTTCATCACTCAACTGTATCACTCAGTCAGTCAGTCATTCATGAACATTCATGTTTATAGGGCTGCCCCTCCTGTTGTGGTCCAGCCAATAACATCTGAATCATACCAAGGCCAAAATGTCTTCTTAAGTTTATTAGTTATTAGTTTATAAGTTTAATTTATTAAGTTACTCTTTGAATTCATTTAAAGTTCTTTGGTTGCCTGGTTCTTTGGGCCAGATCAGATTGTGTCAAAGATTAAATGTAGAGACCTTAATTTAGAGTTTTATTCCATCTTTTTACCGTGACAGGTGACAGCTACTGGGTGTTTGATGCTGAGAGGAAGATAACAGGACCGGATTCGGTGCAGCGGCTCGGTCTTCCTGTAACGGATATCCAAGCAGCTTTAAAGTGGGAAGAGAAGGTCTACCTCTTCAAGTCCACTTCTTACTGGAACTTCAATCCACAGGAGAATCGAGTCGATGACGTCCATCCTCACAGCATGCATGAGTGGGGAGGACTGCCCAGTCGTATTGATGCAGCCTTTCGGGACATATATGGTGAGGAATTCAGAAAAAAGCTACAGTTTTTTCTACCTCTGTCCTAATGACTGGTAAAAGCCTGTTTTTCTTTTATCTGTAAATCCATGGTTGCCCTCTCTTGCCCTCTGACAGGATACGCCAATTTCCTGAGTGGGCCACACTATTGGAAGATTGACCCTGTGGCGCTGAAGGTGGTGGAAGGCTACCCCCGCAGCGTTGGCAGGGATTTCTTTGGCTGTTCTGTCTAAACATGTTCATACACATATATCTGCAAAAACTCATGGATTGATTTTTGACCTCAATTCCCCAAACAGAACATTCTGGCTATTTACATACTTAAGGCAGATGTATTTGACTCCAAATTATTTTAGCAAACAATGGATTTGCAATGAATGGACTGATGTAAATGATTTTGAGTCATACGATAGCTGCTTACTTTTGGAATGATTTGGTCAGTCTGACATGAGAATGAGTTCCCAAACCAAACCCAAAAACTAAAATTGTCAGAAACTCCATTGTAGATCTCAGAGGAACAGTACTGCTGCACTGGCCTCTGTGAGTTGAAAGGTTCAAGTCCATAGCAATGCTTAATAGTACAAAATTGCATTGATTGTGTTGTAGAAAGAATATTTAGCCACCAGAAATTGGAAACAGTGCTAGCAGGATTATTAGGCTAGGTTCAAGAACTTAATGTGTGTAGTAGACAAAAATGAGACAAATGAAGTAAAAACTCGTTTACTAGCAAAGTTGAGGCATGTATTTAAGCAGCTATATATACATTTTACTATCCCTGCATGGCTAACGTTAGCATTAGCAACTGTTTACTTACCAGTCCAGAAGAAACGTCGTGAGTCCAGCATCAAACTTAATTCCTTTACTGACCAACATCTGTCTCCAGAGGTGGAAACAAACACCAATGTTAACTCTTGTCTCTATCACATCTTTTCTTCTACTGAAGTTAGCATGCTAACCAGCTAGCCCCAGCTGGTCTCCTCACTTTCCGATAGCAACTCACTGTAGCCTCCAGTCTGTCCTGAAGACGAAACTACTGGCAATCAACATCCACCTGCTGCCATCAAGAAACCGTGTTTGGCAGCAGAGAACACTTCCAAACTGCCTATTTAAGGTTTCAGTATGCTCAAAGGAACTAGGCCGTACGATGTGTTTGACCATGTCTGAATGCAAATAGAATTATATTTGTTCTGATTGACTGCACCCAAAACAGACGCACAAAGTCTGCCTCCTGGCTCCTTTTTCCTGCATAAATACCAGCAGGAACCTGAGATTGTTGACATGTGTCTGCTTAGTGTCTGTTTACACCACTGGGCAAGTTTTTTGAAAAATTACATATTACTCATTGTAAAAGTAATAACAATACTTTACTATTTACTCAACAAAGTAATTAGTTAACATAACTTGTTACAAAACAGAAATGTCATAGGTGTGTGTAAAACTCTCCAAAGCCTCTACACTCATTTGTTATATCTTCTGTATTTAACATGTGTAGAAATGAGACACTGACTGCTAGCTTAGCCCCAGTGACTGCACACCACTACTACAAAGGTCCTGCTTCACACACCTTCACCTCAACAAAATGAGCTGATTCCTTCTCAGAAAGCAAAATGAAACTTCTTTGCCAACATATTTCTGGGTCCTCGGCCTAAGTTTGTACTTCCACATCTGGGCAGATTCTACTTTTATCCTCTGGTATTGACTGACAGCTTGAAGATTTTCTGTGTGTGTGTCAGAACTGGTCCAGATGTGGAAGTAGCATCTGACAATCATGCTGTATATGGGCCAGAAGAAAACAAGCATGTGGCCCAAGTATGGGCCAGATTTATTTTGCTGTTATTTTGCTGAGTATGCTCACTAGTGGCTAACGTTAGCCAGCAGAACCGACTGTATATAAATATAACAACTTTGGAGTTACTGGGAGTTGAATTTCTCTTTTCCTGGTAGAGGCTAACTGCTGCCCCACACAGGCCTGAGCAGTGAAGAAAAAACTCTGTTTGAATAATGTTGAAAATTTGCACAAATTAGGGAACAATTTGCCTGAAAGCTCTGTAGTGATTCGTTAAATAAAAACAAACAAAAAAACAACAGAAAACAAAGAAGAAATGATGTAGTGGTGGGACAGGAGGTGTAATGTTTACTGCAGTGGATGAAGATCTTTGTTGATCCCTCTTCTGTATGTCCCAAGATTATGTATTATGTATTATATATAATTGTTGGAAAATGTCGAAGCTTGTTTTTGCAAGCTTATGATGAGCGAGAAGCAGCGGAGGTGATGTTCACTTCCAGTGGGTTTTGTCTGTTAGTGGGATTAGCCATTAGGGAACTTCAAAATGCATCCTTTACTAAAAAATGATACGTTAGGTGATACATTATCCTCCAACACTGCTGCAGAAACAAACATGCCTTCACCAATATGTTCACACCGTTCAGCTCTGAATGAATCTGCAAAATGCATAGATGAAAACTATCCACGTGGTTCAGCTGTCTGGGGCTCAGACCTGCAGGATGGAGGCTTCACCCCCACAGTGACATTTTCTCCACCTGCTCCACACTTGTCTGGTTCAAAGCCTCTGAACCAGACTAATAACTACACAATAATAACAATAGCCTATTGATAATAATAGTAACAGTAATACATTACCATTACCTGTTACCACTTTGATGTATTAAGGTGCTGAAAAACAGGATCTGACAATTCTTTACTTTTAGCGTGAATCACAGCTCAAAGTTGGAGAATAACGTCGGAAATTTAGAATGAATCTAATTTTGATGAATTATCTGTGTTTAAAGTGAGAAATTGCATATATCCATGTGAAACGTACTAACAGGGCTACTCTGTTGAAATGTTGTAGGGGGCGCTATCGAGCCATGCCCCCCCCCCCCCCTTACAAAATGATATTACCAATTACCAGATATCAGATATCAACTCCTGTGTCAACAGTGGTGCTTTTTAGCTACGCTAACATCGTAGACCAGGGGACGTTCATGTTCCCCTCCGGATGAACTGGAAGAACTTTGGTGATCTCTGCAGTTACACCTCACCTCTGCTCGGCCTGACATATCTACAAACTTTGGCCTTTATTTTTTTATTATCTTATTTGTGTTTCCTCTGTTTTGATTTGAGTCATCAGGCTCTTCTGCTTACACACCCACTGGATAAAAAACTCCATGTAGGTCAGACCCTGGAGCACTCTGTGTATCCAGTCTCCCCCACACACCTCCTGTATCCGCCTCGACCACAGACTTGAGTCGAGTCAGGAAATGGGTCCTTGTTGCAGCAGTGGGATTACTCACAAAAAACCTTCAGTCTAATAGATATCATGAAGCCAGATAAACTGGTATCCTGCACTGGCCTGACATGGAAAAGGGTTGTGTTGATTTTGCTTTGTTGTGCTTTAGGTGATCACATGTGACAGAAGAATTATATTCATCAACAGTCAGTTATTGACAATCAACTTTTGGTCACGTTGGTTGAGTTGATATCTCTAAATTCACTGAATGAAGCCGTGATCTATATCTTTGAACATTTAAGGTGCTATTTAAGGTTGTGTAGGCAAGGTAAACTAGTACCTCATATAACACTAATCAAACAATTTGTTCTCATAATTATTCACAGAACTCCTTTGGTTCATTTTTATAGAGCCACACTACGTTTTTTTTAATTATTTTTATAGAGCCACTGATTGTTGTCGTAACTTCATTAGAAAACAAATGAGAAAAAACCATGTTGTAGTTGTCGGGCAGTCTGATAGGGTCTGATATGAATCATCTGTTTCAGTCAGAGTGTCACTCTGACTTACTGTATATTTTTATGAATATTACACTTTGTATTCAGCATGTTACTGTTGTGAATCAGTGCAGGACACTGAGGATTCAATGACTTTTTAAATACACATTGTGTCTGCAGCAGTAGCAGTGCAGTGTAGCTTTGACTCTGTCAGTGGTGATTCTGTCAACGTGTCCTGACGGTGTTTAAGATCTGCTGTGATGTATCCTCAGCATACAGTGAGTGTACTGATTCGTTTGCCTTTATATTCAACTCTTTCAGTCAGAACATGTATCTCTGATGTGAAGTTTTTGTTTACAATAAAACCAAAAAAAAATCAACATTTCGACTGTTTTTTCCTGTTTCTGAAAGTAAAGTAGTTCAGTTATTGGTTTTTATTCCTCTGCGCCAGCAACAGTCAGAGCTCCATCCGTCCCATTCTCGTGGACATGATCTCAGTGACGTAACTTCTTCATATTTGGCACAAACATTCACTTGGACCCAAGGATAAACTGATTTGATTTTGGTGAAAGGTCAAAGGTCAAGCATGTGGTGACCTCCCAAAGCGCTGTTTTGGCCTTGTTAACATGATATCTCAGTAATGCCTTGAGAGTCTTTCTTTCTTCAAATGTCCACTTGGACTCTTGTGAATGCAATATATCAGGAACACCCACAAGGAATGTCATCACTTCTGTCACTGTGACCTCACAAAACACGTTTTTGGCCATAACTCACAAATTCATTCACTAATTATGACACAATTTAACTCAAATGTCTGTAAGGATAAAAAGAAGTGATGGCATTGAGTATTTAAAGGTCAAGGGTCACCTTCACTGTGACATCATAATGTTCTGTAAAAACATCTCTGGTCATTATTCAACACTGTAACTCAGGAAGGAGAGACTGTGACCATGTTTCCGGATACTTGTCTGGTTGGTGGAGGAAACAACCAGGAGGAGGAGATGATGTCAAACTGAGACGTGTTTTATGTTTTATGTGTTTTATGTGTTAAATGTTTTAATTCCTTTGTGTGTTGTGGTAAATGTTGCAGCCACGTTGCGGTGTGTGTTTGGTGGTGTTTTGTTGCAGCAGGTGGTTGAGTGCACCTGTGTCCACTTGCTCATCAGGGTTGGGACGACAAAGACTCGGGCCCAATCCCAATGTCCACCTGCATGGACACAGTGCATAAGGGCTCTCTAGCAGACAGGTTGAGGTCTTTGCCTGAGGGAATTACCCACAGTTCATAGTGTTGTGACGCTATGAAACATAAAAAAAAAATGGTATACAAACATGAAATGGAAAAAATAAGAAGAACAAACAAACATGGACGGCACAAACACAAACGTTAACATTTACATGTGAGTATAAACAAAGAGTTCAGCGACTCAGAGCCAGACCATCAGATCTGATGCTACATTACTATTCTGTTTACAAACAGGGAGCAAAGGGAGGGAGTCAGTCATCTCACATCAAAGGTCACTAGCCCAAAATAGGACAAAATATGTTTTGGTGTCAAGGTAAGTGCTGTCCCGTTCCTCCTCATTGCATTTTGCAGCCGCTCGCACTCAATTACTTACCAGGTGACATCAATTCAGTCTGTGGGGTGTTCGATGGGCCTCAGGGGGGGACACTGGGACTGGGACTGGGACTGGGACTGGGACTGGGACTGGGGCTGGGACTGGGAGGGGATATGCACCTGGTGCCCAGTGGGACATTCAGCAGCTCCAGGTTGTGTCAAGTTGCAGTGTGCACACCACATCACCTTCTGGAGGGAGGGTGGTCGTGTTGTTTTTCTGGTTAGTGTTTCACTTTAGCTCAGACAGTTCATTCAGTCTTCAGATGATTATGTTTCAGTTTTAAGTGTTTAAAAAAACACTCAATACCTCATAATGACGAAGTGAAAACAATATTTTAGAAATATTTCAAATGTATTAAAAAGTAAAAACTGAAATATCACATTGACGTAAGTATTCAGACGCTTTACTATGACTCTGTAAATGTAGCTCAGGTTCCTCCATTTCTCTGGATCATCTCAGATGTTTCTCCACCTTGGTTGGAGTCCACCTGTGGTAAACTCAGCTGATTGGACATGATGTGTAAAGACACACACCTGTCTGTATCAGGTCTCACAGCTGACAAACAGATCAGAGCAGAAACCACGAGGAGGAAGGAGCTTCTGCAGAGCTCAGAGACAGGACTGTGTCCAGGCTCAGAAACATTTCCAACATTGGTCTCCATCATTCTCATTCACAAAAAGCACCACTGTCCCACACTGAAAAAATACAATCTACTTAGTTTGAGCTTTATTCATCTTTGTTTTTACAAATTGTTTATAAATGTATCAATAGTTTAGTCCCAGTCTCTCTCCAGATATATCCAAAGGCAAGAAAGTAACAGCAACTAGGAGCATGATGAATGACAACTGTAAAAAAAAACCACATCGTAGATCTACATCTGGACAATCATCCTTCTCTATGATGTTTGTAGCTTGTTGTTGTTGTTGTTGTTGTTGTTGTTTTTTCTCTTTTTAGACTGAACATCTGTTTATTTGAGCTAATTATAGATAATATTATCATTGTGTTCTGTTTTGTGTTGTTTTAATTACATTACACATGTAAAAGCCCAACTAGGGACAGGAGTCGAGGATTAGCAACAGCTATAAACTCTTTGTGTAACACATTAGTTTAATGCTTTGTTTTGAAATGCATTGTCATATCAAAATAAATAAATAAACTAAAATAAATAAAGAAATTCAGGCTGATTCCTAGAGAAATGAAATGTGGGAGAAAGGGTTTTGGAACCATCCTTCACTGAATCTACTGGACCAAAGCCAGACTTTATAAAAGGTCTGAGTCTGTGAGTTGAGCTCCAGCTTCTCTGATGCACATTCTCTGGTCCTGTCCATCATCACATGACAACTTTGAGTTGCTGTTTGTGAATGATAAGTATAAATAAAGTTTATTACTAGTATCACTTTGCTGAATAGGACTTTCTAAGAGTCAGAGTAAAGTGTCAGTGATGGAGAAAAACAAGAGATGTATAGAGAACAGAAATGTATGACCGCTGGCTGTGCTGTTGATTATTTCCAGGTTTGCTCTCGAGTCTTGTGAGAGTGATTCATGTTTCAGTCATCCTGCTGCGGTCACGCTGGTATGCAGCAGATGGCAGTTTGGGTCAGACATGTGAGACTCCTTTGTCTCCAGTTTATAATAGTGTCCAGTTCTTGTGTTTGGAGGTTCTGCCTTTGAAACATAATGAACTAACTGAGTCACCAGGTGTTCAGCTGGAACCTTTATCATCTTGGAGTCCATGTTTTGCAGTGTTAATGTACTAGTGCACTATAGTGAGTACAGAGGGGGCCACACAGCTACAGCAGCTATACACAGGAGAAGCATCATAAAGAGTCTCAGTCAGGTGTTGATCCTCCAAATCAGCTTCCCTGCTCCAAGTCTCCATTCTTCCTCATGTGGTGTTTGATGATGGTGGAGAGCGCTGTCTAACACGCCTCTCCAACGTCTCCCACACTTCAACTGGACAAAGATCAGGTGACTGTGAAGGTCTCCCATCATCCTTATCCTCATCAGACCATCAGCATCATTGACACTTGTGACCTGTGGATGGAGACCCCTCCCATCAGGAGAGATGTTTCATCATGGGATAAAAGTGATCACTCAGAACAACTTTGTATTGATCTGCAGTGACCCCTCCCTCTAAGGGAACAAGTAGACCTAAAGCATGTCAGTAAAATGCCCCCCACAGCAGAGCCACCAGGACCGTTCTCCTGGTGTTCACCAGACAAGAACCATGTATGGAGAATAAGGACGACTCATCTGACCACATCACTTTTTTCTTCATATTAAAAAAAAAACAATAATAATAAATAATATATATATATATATATATATAGTATGTGTGTGTGTTTTGGGGTGATTTTTTGCCTTTATTTCAGCCACAGTGAGAGAGAGAGGAAAGTTGGCAGCTGGGGAGAGAGAGAAGGGATGACACACAGCAAGGAGCCTCAGGCTGGACTCGGACTTGGGCTGCTGCAGTGAGGACTAAGCCCTCATGGTGTGCTCCACCAGGTGAACCACTGGGACCCAATCCAAGTNTGATCCTCCAAATCAGCTTCCCTGCTCCAAGTCTCCATTCTTCCTCATGTGGTGTTTGATGATGGTGGAGAGCGCTGTCTAACACGCCTCTCCAACGTCTCCCACACTTCAACTGGACAAAGATCAGGTGACTGTGAAGGTCTCCCATCATCCTTATCCTCATCAGACCATCAGCATCATTGACACTTGTGACCTGTGGATGGAGACCCCTCCCATCAGGAGAGATGTTTCATCATGGGATAAAAGTGATCACTCAGAACAACTTTGTATTGATCTGCAGTGACCCCTCCCTCTAAGGGAACAAGTAGACCTAAAGCATGTCAGTAAAATGCCCCCCACAGCAGAGCCACCAGGACCGTTCTCCTGGTGTTCACCAGACAAGAACCATGTATGGAGAATAAGGACGACTCATCTGACCACATCACTTTTTTCTTCATATTAAAAAAAAAACAATAATAATAAATAATATATATATATATATATATATAGTATGTGTGTGTGTTTTGGGGTGATTTTTTGCCTTTATTTCAGCCACAGTGAGAGAGAGAGGAAAGTTGGCAGCTGGGGAGAGAGAGAAGGGATGACACACAGCAAGGGGCCTCAGGCTGGACTCGGACTTGGGCTGCTGCAGTGAGGACTAAGCCCTCATGGTGTGCTCCACCAGGTGAACCACTGGGACCCAATCCAAGTGATTACTGTGTAGACTCCTGTATCGGCACATTTCTCAACCACCTCACTGAGACAAACGAACCAAATATCCACATTAAAAACCACATGTTCACAAAACATGTTTTTTTAATATTTCTTTATTGTTATTTTCATATAAAAAACAAGTCCACTATAAAGGTAAAGCAATTTTACAAAAGAAGAGAACAAGAAGCGACAGTACATACGTTAACATCGTTTTCAGAGTATGTTCAAGTTGAAAATCATCATCTTAAAAGACACTGTTGGTTCTTATCAGCTTGTTGACCCCCCCGCCCCCCCTGCCCCCCCGCCCCCGCCCCTCCCTCTCCCTCTACTTAACCAATAGCACTCAGTAAAACAGAGGCTCCAGTCTGACACTGATGCAACATGAGGCACAGTGCAAACAGAGGTAACAGTGCGAACAGTTAGTCCCTCATGCACAGGGGACAGTATGAACTACCTATGTTTTAGCATGCAGATGAACACTGGTGCACACAGCTGATCTGAATCACTCACAGACACCAGAACACAGTCTACATGCTGAAATCAAACCGGCTCTGATCTGATCTGGATCGCAGTCTGAAGACCTGTCTGGACACCGTGTTGTTTGAATTTACACATGCACACTGGTCTTTACACTCAGGCACAAACACTAACATCAGCCCACAGCACGAGGACGCAGCCCAACAGCTGATGTGGCTCACAACATTTATTAAAGCCCCAGTACGTTGGAGGGTAGATGTGGAAGTCTGATGGTGCTGGAGATGAAAACTGATGTGAGTGAAGCAGAGCTGAGACAGGAGATGTATTTAAAGCCTTTTCTACCCTGACACAGACCTGGTGAGACCGGAAGGAGCCAACATTTTACCCAACATGTCCGACTAAATAAAGGTTTTTAACACATCTCGTCTCCTTGTTTTCTTCTCTTCACCGTTTCCTGTGGTCACAGTGTCTTTCACATGATTCTGACAGTGTGAGAGTTTTTGGTTTTTGTTTGGTCCTCCCGCTGTCAATCACCAGAGTCAGAAATGTTCACACCCACCCGTGTGGAATCTGTGCCATCAAGGACACGAGGCCTGCAACTAGCAAGTATTGTCATTATCGATTCATCTGTCTTTTTTTTTTTTCATTAATTGTGTTGATAAAATATCAAAGGAGCGAAAAAATACCCCATGTCACTACGGTGGCCCTGAAGGCTCAACGCACCGCAATTTAAGAAAACCCATGCAAATACAACCAACACAACCAAATACAGAAACACGCTGCAAGTAGCACAGACAACAGAAGTGTGTCCAGAAGACATTAGAAGTTTTTTTTAGTCCCCTGGAAACACTTCTCTTGTGTTGTGAGTATGTGTTTCAAATTGATGAAGATGTTTTCTGAAGTTGTTTGTGTTTTGTCTGATTTCATGTGTTTTCTTAAGGTGCAGTGTGTTGAGCTCTCTGGGCCACCGTACATCACACCTTCTCAGAGCTCATGGTGACGTCTTGTTCTGTCTGACAGACCCACAGAGACTGGGTTTACAGCGAATCGTCTCATCTGAGAAGCTGGGACAAAACTTCAATCATTTTTCTGTTGATCGACTAATTGATTAATAAACCCAGTGGTGCAGCACTACATGTTCATTAGATCAGGATCTAAACAAGCTCAGTCACACATCATTCAGTCATGTGACCGTGATGAACAGGAGGAGATGACAGAACTCTGTCAGTCGGAAGAATTCAAACTTCAGTTGTCAGTGTTGTCGTGGTGATGGTTCACAGTCACTGTCCAGGTCAGTGTCACATCACACACTCATTCATATAGAATCACTGAGCTCAGTCATTGTTCTTGTTTTGTTGTGTAGTGTGAAGGTTGCCTGGTGTGTGTGTGTATAACAGTAATAGACACTATAACACCAGCGATATAAGGTCAGATGTGAGTCGACTGACGTCCTACAGGCAGAGTGAAACATGGTGATGATGATGAAGATGATGAAGATGAGGAATGCCTGGATGTGTGTTTTCAGTGTTCAGTCAGTGAGACGCTCATGGAGACTGATCACGTCTGTGTTCATGCTCACAGGAACATCCAGATGCTTCATGATGACCTGTGCGCGCGCGCGTGTGTGTGTATGAGTGTGTGTGTGTGTATGAGTGTGTGTGTGTGTGTGTAACTCTCTGTGAATTTACTTGATTAAGAATAACAAGAGACTCCAGAGGACACGTCGACTAGTGCAGCTTCATGTCTCTTTTACCAGGACGGAGCAGTGTTGGCCAGTCTCCTCATACGCCTGGGGAATATAGAACAAAACACATTTTATTCACATGATTAGACAGAACTAATATCACACAGAGGAATGACTTGGACTAAATAAACAAACATAAATGACTTTGTCTTGGGGAAAGTTTATTTAGTGAAAACTCAGAAACACAGATCTCCTGCTCAATGAACCTGATCCAGACTCTGAGTCCGACTCATCCCGAGATGGTTCTGATCATAGTTTTGGTTCCAGCTGATCAGTTAGTCTCCAATACTACAATTCACCCCGGCAACAGGTGAATAAAGAGCAGAGCCTCCATCTTATTCCCATGGTGCTACAAATAAAACATGTCTCTTGGACAGCCTTCTTCCACCTGCACATTATTGTGAAAATCAGAAACATCCTGTCTCAAAGCGACGCTGAAAAGCTAGTCCATGCATGTGTTGCCTCCAGGCTGGAATACTGTAATTCTTTATTATCAAGATTATTATCAATAACTCAGTGAAAAGCCTCCAGCTGAGTCAAAGTACTGCAGCTTCAGTACTGACAGGAACTAGAGAAGATATCCCATCTCTCCTGTGTTAGCTACACCAGCTCACCTACAAAGACATTAATGATCAGACAGCATCGTATCTGAAAGAGCTCACAGTTCCCTATCATTCTAACAGAACGCTCCGCTCTCTAACGCAGGTCTACTTGTGGTTCCTAGAGTTTCTAAGAGTAGAACAGGAGGCGGAACCTTCAGCTATCAGGCTCCTCTCCTGTGGAACCAGCTCTCAGTCTGGGTTCAGGAAGCACACTCCCTCTCTACATTTAAGATCAGGCTTCAAACTGTCCTCATCATTTTGGTGGAACTGACTGAAAAACCAGCAAATACCAACAGCTGGTCGATGTTGGCGGGGACAAAGGGAAAACAGTAGAGGTGGGTTGCCGCACAGACTGTGTGGGATCTGCTGACCAGGATGGGAGCAAGAGGCCGAGAGAGGAGGAAACAGTTCAAAGGCTGGGAGAGGGAGCTGGAAGGAGATGAGCTGGAAGCCAGGAGGAGAGGCGAGAGAGAGAGAGAGAGAGAGAGAGAGAGAGAGAGAGAGAGAGAGAGGATGATATGCAGCAAAGGGACATGGGTTTGATTTGAACCCGGGCCGCTGTGGTTAGTACTGACCCTTCATGGTAGGTGTTCTATCAGGATACACCCCCCCCCCCCCCGCGGTGTCTTCTGGAAACACTTCGGTTGTGTTGTGAGTATTTTTGTTGCATGTGCTTTAAGTTGCAGTGTGTTGAGCCCTGGGGGCCACCGTAGATATGAGTTTAGCCACACTTCCTGTATCTGTGAGTAGATGTACAGGACATTTACAGACTATATGCGACTGTCTCACCTTGTGTTTCTGTCCTGGTCTCGAATCTTCTTCTCCATTTCAGCATCTGTGAGGGTCTCGAGCAGGGGGCACCACTGGTCTGCATCTCCTGTATTGCGGATAGCGATCTCTACCGTGGGGAGTGGGTTCTCACTGTGGGAAGATTTCAGGCGTGACAGTGATGGATTAGTCCAGAGCTGATCATCATCAGCTTGTAACATATTCTATGTCCAGTGTCTGAATCAGAGCGTGTTGATTCTAAGTGTGCTGTGTGTGTCCAGTGAGTCACCTGAAGGCGTACGTCCTCTGGTGCCAGCTGAGCTGACCACGGATACTGTAGGCAATGGTGGTGACAAACTCTCCGCCCAGACCCAGCTCCGAGCACAGCTTCAAGGCGAACGACTCGGGGGAGTTCTCCCTCTCTGACATGTCCCACTCAAACTGGTCCACCAGAGAGATGTTCCCCACGTGGATGTTCAGCTGAGGAGCACACAGACACACACACCTCATGCACACGCCAGTGTTTGATAGACATTACAGTCAATTTCTGAAGGGGGGGGGGGGCTTCTTCTCTGAACACAGACATGATGCACACATCTTTACATTCAGTGTAACTTCCACTTCTTGAGGATGTCATCGTGTGATAAACATTGAGAAAAATAAATCAGAGAAAAAAGATGCTCCCCATGACTCCAGGGGCCGTTTCAGACTGTGTTGGTCTTCATGTTGCTCATTGATCAGTCTGATAGTCAGACCATTTCACACAAATAAAGACTGACTACCCCCAGGCTAACTCAGGCCTAAGACCAATGTTACCATGGTAACAATTAATGACACCTGTGCTGACCAGTAGCAACCAACAACAAAAAAACAGGAAAACAGAGAAGGGAAAGAGTTTTTAGAGATGACAGATATCTTTTTCCAAATCAGGTTTTTCTTTTTATTGTTTCACTCTTCGAGTAAAACGTCCTTGTAACTGCTGAATTCTTCTGGGGTAAACAAAGCTGAGTGATTGGATGTAGTTCTGTGGTCGGCCACTTTTCTTATTTTGAAAAAATTTCATTTAATTAAATTTACCCAGAATTCACTGTACCACAGTCCGGCTTAAGATAGTCAACAACTAAGCAGCTTTGTGCAACAGATGAATTCAGACGTGTATCTGAAATCTGACTGTTTGCTCTAGCTAAGCCTCTGTCTCTGTGAAACCGGCCCCAGAGAAAGCTTTCTTCAGTTTCACAGTGATCTGGTGTATCAGACACTCTGATTGGCTCACTGGACCCAACAGGAGCGTCCAATTCAGAAATGTGATTTCAGACATCACGGGCAAAGTGGATGATCATCGATCGATACACATGCAGATGGATTCAGTAATACACCAGGCAAACTGTGAGTCTATCTAAATCTTTTCTAACTTTACACATTACTTTATCAACAGAAGTAAATGACTCACATGGACAAAAGGGCTTGTTGGAAAGAGCTGATTGTCTAGCATGCCACTAGTTCAAACCATCGCAGAGTAAAGACAGTGTGATATTTGGAGGCACATACACTTCGCTGTATATTCTTGTGATATCGCATGATTCCCTCGAGCAGCTGTTGTTATTTGGGCTCAGCACCCACCTTGATGATGACTCTCTGGTCGGCCTGCTCCTCCAGGATGCTGTCAGTGGGGTAGGACTCAATCTGCTGACGGATGGCTGAGGCGATGGCGGGGACAAAGGCCAGAGGATTCAGGTCCAGGTCGTCACACAGAATCTCTGCAAACATCTCCGGGGTCATCAGTTTCTCTGGGGGGTGGCGGAGGGTGTGAGACAAGGTTAGAAAATAATAATAATGACTAGACACAGCTGGTGTGAAGCTCTCTGACGTGTGTGTACCGTTCATGTTCCACGTGAAGGCGTCTCTCAGCTTCTGTCCGTCGATCTCCATGTCCAGACGAATGGGAACCAGAGCCTCCACCTGGGCTGCGTTCTCATGGATCACTGCAGGGTCGTGGTCATCGAAGCTGAAACAGTGTCGGATTATTGTTAGAAATCAGGCAAATCAGACAAAATACTGGAAATACATTTTACAGTGAAACACTGAAAAGGACAAACAAAGATACATAAACCTTTACTGAGGCTGACTGACAGGACACAGAGCCCGAGCCACACTGTCGTACTTAATACTTAATAACCAGACCGTCTCACCACAGGGGGAAGGTCCTCTTCTTGTCACGGCCCATCCTGTTGCGGTTGATGGTGGTGGAGCAAGGCACAGCATCAAGGTGGTGGGAGCTGTTGGGCAGCGTGGGGACCCACTGACTGCTCCTCTTTGCTTTCTGCTCCCTTTATAGAGAAAGCCAAAAAAAACAAAAAAAAACACAATGTTGTAAGTTGTATCTTCTGTCAGAGGAGTGTGGAAGCAGTTCAGTATTACACTTCCATAAAGCTGCTGGACAGACGGATCAACAGAGGAACAAAGCAGAGAACAACATTTTGTACTTTGGTCCTACTCATGAAAAAACTGTTCACACACTGACAGAAGGTAAAATAGGTTCAGTTTAATTCATGTGTAACTAGAATCACCTCCTCGTGGTTGTCTGCCTGCTCCACTCAGACTAGTTCCAGGTCACATTCCTGTTTATCCAGAGTCTTATAAGATATGAACCATTTGTGTGACATTTTGTCTTAATTGCTGTGAAGTCTGGCTAAAAACTGTTTTGTGAGGTCACACTGAGTCTGATCTTTGACCACCAAAATCTAATCAGTTCATCATTGAGTCCAAGTGAACGTTTGCTCCAGATTTGGAGGATGGATAGACATGAAAACAATATGCCTCTGGCTGTTGTCGGTGCAGACGTATAAAAAATGACTGAGAATAAAAGTCACAGTTTCAGTCAGATGACCATCATCAGCTTACACACCATATAATCTCACGCTACTACAATTACTTACCTTTTTGGGCCAGAAAAACTAAAATACAAAATGTGAAAAAAAACAAATCTAAATCCAGACAGATGCTGAGTCAGTCATTATCTGACAGAAATGACCTGGGGCAGGTGGGGAGCTGAATAATGCCTAATGGGAGGGTCTATGTGTGGGAGCCATGGTCTGATACAAGTGATGACACTAGACAGAGGTCAATGGGAAACTGGTCTTTCAGCCTTCTGGACCCCCCCCCCTGTGTGTCTCCTGATACAGAAACCTCTTTGTTGGAATATTTCATTTTTCACATTTATTTGAACAATTTTACAGAGAACACACAGAACGCTAAGACACACAAAGTTTCCTTTCCAACACCCACCTCAGTGCATAGAGTGACACATAGGAGACATTAGGCTAACAAATGTATCTCCCTAAAAGAGCTCTTGGGTCAACCACAGCTCATTATGGTGACGTCAGAGATGTTCCTATATACTCTAGATAAAGCTGCCAGATTTTCAGAACGTTGTTGCATCCTTTTCTTAAACTATATGTGATCTTTTCAAGAGGAATACAACTGTTTCTGTTGTTGTTCCATTTCTGACAACCACCTATCAATGAGCAGAGGGGAATCAGATTTCCATGTCACTGCTGTGTATTTCCTGGCCTCACACAGAGCAACCTTCATAAATTTAATTTGGGAACTAGTGGAGGATGCGCTGACATTTGTGAAATTCGCCAGTGAGCAAAGTTCAGGATCTAATGAGAAGGATAGCTCCAGTGATCTTGGTCAAGGAGTCACAGAAGTCCTACCTCACCTTAGTACGGAGCCAGGTACAGTGCAGGAGAGAGCCGACCTCTGTTGCACATCTGAAGCACATTTCTGACAGTTCATGTTTGGATCTGTGTAATTTTCTGTTGGGTGAGATTTAGCTGATGAAGAAGGTTGTAATGAACTAGTCTGTACCTGGCATTAATAGTGGCTGACAGACTGTGTGGGCATGAATCTGACCAGAGCTCTTCATCAACTCCACTTTCAAATCTGATTCCCATCTCGCTCTAGATTTGTGTCAGCCTGGCTTTGGGCTACACACCCCTCTTGACCCTTCACATATGTGTTGGTCTAACCTCGTCACATCCATCCATCAGTATTTTCAAGTGGTTGTACTTGTATTTACATAATTTCTCCAACTGCTTCATGGATTAGAGATACTGTGCATTTGCAATTGTAGGAAATTAAATACATATTTAATGAGGATCAGGACCCCCTCCATTCTACTGCTGACTACATATTACATAAGCATGTAACTGTGAGGAGTCTTTGGTGCTTTATGAAGGAGTCAGTGGGATGTTTATGGTGGTGGACTTGCTGCGGTACGGACGGGAATGTTTCTTTACACAACTGTTGTACGAACATTATGTTTTCATGTGTGCATGTGTGTGTCTGACACAAGACACACACCTGCACAAGACTAATAATAACTGTCACAGAGAAGAGCTTACCTGAGGTACGCTGGGGGCTCCGTGCTGATGGACACCGCCTTGTATTTCTCATCGTTACCCTCAAAGATCTCTTCACACTCTGATGCCTTCAGCAGAGTGACACTGGTGGCTGCAGAGAGATCAGGATTGTTTACAACATTATTGATAACCCAGACCAGGAGCAGTCCGAACTGACCACATGAAAGAACCAGTCACTCACCGTGTGATGATGCTACAATTTTCTTCCTCTCCTCCACTGAAGCGAGCCTCCTCCATAGAGACGGGTATCTTTTATACAGAGAGCCTCTGAACATTCGCAGATAGTTTCCAACCTGAAGAGCACAAGGTCCAAAATTAATATTTGGCCTCTAGATTCAAACCTGCTGAAGACAAAGTCTGAATAATCATCATCAGTGTGATTCATCAAGAATAAATCACAAACTAAAAACCTGAAAAGTTGAAAATGTGCTTTTAGATTTACACACAAATCGATTAAATTAACTGTTCAGTTATAGAGGTGCTACCAGTTTTACTTTATACTGTCTTATAGGACAGTTTTGACACTGATCAGCACAAAAATACTTTCAAAAAGAAAAACCAATCTGTACAAATTCCTATAATGTAAATACATTGAAGAAAAGTACGAAGCAGCAGTTACAGCCTCGATTCTGTCGTTGTCACTGAGATTGTTGTGTTGCTGAAAATGAATCTCCTCCTGAGCTGAAGTTCTCTTGTAGACTTCACTACAGCAGGTTTCTCTTCAGTGATCTGACCCTCTCCCATCACGAGACCTCCAGAGCAGCTACAGAGCAGCATCACCACAGAACAACGCCGTTTTCCACCTTCTGATACCCAGACCCCTCAGGTGATCTGGGACAGGTTCACTCAGTGTTCCAGAACCAGAACCAAACAAGGAGAAGCAGCTTTTAGTTCCTCTGCTCCTCACCTGTGGAACAAGCTTCCTGAACACCTGAGATCTGCTGAAACTGTCTGCTCAGTTAAATCAAGTTTAAAACAACAGTTTGCTGCAGCTCACCAATAGATCACATAAATAAAATCTGTTTAATCTTGTGCATGTGCTTGTTGTTAATGTCTTTTATCAATGCAGCACTTCTTTTAAAAGTTTTCTACCTGATCTAATGTACTTAAATATCTTTATTTTTATTCAAGGGTGTTTTTATTGTTTTGAAATGGTTAAGATTTTAACACCATCTTAATGTTCTATTTCTAATGTACTCCCATGCCTCTGTAAAGCACTTTGAATTACCTTGTGTCTGAATGGTGCTGTAGAAATAAACTTGCCTTGGTGTTGTGTTGTGTTTGGTGTACATCAACTGTACTCTTTAATTTGATGGTCTCATCACACCCCAGGAGCTTGCTCCACTTTGTTCCTCATTCTCTTTAGGTTTAGAATATAAATATAATCATATGTATAAATGTGCAAAATGTGTAAGTATACAGTTCTAGTGGTGGTTGCGTTTGAGTGAAATAATGTATTTTTGTATTTTGAAAGATGTGGTCATTGAATGTGGCAAAGCAATGAAAGTGATTCATAGTTTGATGCACTGAGAGCTGCTACGATGAGTTTGTGAAGAGTTTTGAAATACTGTATCAGACCATCTCTTAAAAATAGTTCACGTTACTTAAAGACCACAAGAACCATGACCGGGGGGGAGGGGGGGGGATTTAACAAACTCTGAACTTAACCCTTAACTCTGAGTTGACTTATCCTAAGATGGAAAACAAATAGTTTTCAGTTGCAGAACAGTTAAGACTACGTGCAGCCTCTATTCAAAAACTCACTTTTAAACTACATTTTGTTCAGTTTTAAACCTTGGTCTTTTCAGCTGCACAGAAATATTCACATCATCTCCAATAAGATCAATAACCAATAGGAATTCATCATCAGTGCAGCCAATCCCAACATGACAAATGATTCCTCATAGATCAGAGTCTCATGTGTACAAAGCTTCACACAGACAAAGATAAAGTCAGCTGTCAGAGAGCAGGTTAGCTTCCTGGACTAAGTTAGTAAGTTTAACTAGTTAAAGTCAGACTCAGAGTTTTCTCTAGAGCTTTCCTGGTCTGTTAGCGTGCTGTGCAACTGCAGACTCGTTTTAATTCTCTGAAAAACCACATGATAAGTGGTTTTAGCTTAATTTAATTATTTTGTTGAGAAGAAAACGGTGTGAGTGACAGGTTCAACACAGACTGAGGTTTCACATGTTTCTTCTTCTCGTTATTTCATACAAGAAGTTACTGAAAAAAGCCAAAGCTGCTCTGTTATCTCTTATTTAATTAGTTTGAGGCAGAATAACGTTAGATCATGTTTGATTTACCGGATGTTATCCTGACTTCACCGTGTTTTATAACATTCTTTATTTTCAGGTATTTCTTTGTTTATGGTTTGTGAATCCATCAATGGGATTCGTTAGCATGCTAGCATTAGCTAGCCAGAATAATGGATAACTGAGGCTAACATTAGGAAGCTACGCACTGAAAGTCAATGAACAGACAAGCACATACCTCCGAGCCAACCATGTAAAAGTCCCCATCTTGTTCTAACTGAAATTTCACTGGCTTCTGACCAAACGTTTTACTTAGAGCCAGTTGCATCTTCACGCAGTCGTTAACCAGCTAACTAGTGAGTAGCGTCTTCTTTCGATGCGTTCAGGGCTCACGGTAAAAACGGGAAATCAGCGTTCTCCCTCAGCACAGCGTTCACTTCAGCTTACTGCATTTACTCATTTAAAATTTGCATTTAAATAATAAGTCAATGAGCAACAAGCGGAAAACGACATAACAGCAAATCAAAATTTACTGTAAACTACAAAAAACCAGTGAACACATTAAGTATCTGACTCTATTCCTTTTTCTGAAAACCGCGAACGCTTCATTGACCTTACTCTTCGTTTGTTTCAAGGAAGAGGAACAATTTAAAAAGTGCAACACCGCCCCCTAGTGACCTTAAGTGAGATAAAATTCAGTCCTCAATCAGATTTCCATCAATTGTTCTAATAAATCTAATGAGCTGTATTACAATAAATACATAAGGTGGTTAGATCTGAACGAAACATGTGAAAATGATCTATCAATATAAACATGATACTGAAATACAGAAGATTATGTTGATTATAATTTGGCCTGTCAACATCCCTTCATACAGCCACCACAGCATGGCAGGTATTGTTTTCACCTTGTGAGTCTGTGTCTGGGTCGATTGTACCCTAAGCTACGAGGACTCGTCATCACTGTGGGGACCAAAATTAAAATCCCCACAGGTCCAGACTGCTTTTTGAGCGTTAGGTCTTAGTTTTGGGGTTGTCCCCTTGAGGATATAGAAACATTGTGGCAAAAAAATGGTCCTGGAGACACCTACTGCGGTGGTTTGAGCATTTTGGCATGTGTTATGTCTGTCTCTGGACGGATTTTGTCACAGTGATCGCGTCACAACTGTGCAAGATACAGTCACAAAACTTCACAGGTGTAGTTGATGTGGACCAATGAGTAACAAGTACTATGTTGCTGGTGGAAGATGGTCTCTAATTTGTATCTGTTACAGTAAATTCTATTTGTTTAGCAGTTTTCTTAAGATTATTGAGAAATGTAAAATTAAAAGGAATAATCATCAATCAATCAATAATCAGCTGTAGTACAAAGACTGATTTCATAACAGTCCATTACTCACCTCAGCCTGCACAGCAATAGTCATGAAGGATTTTTTTTTATAAAGTGCAAGTATAATTCAACAAAACTTTTTAGTCCTACTCTTAATATGACATGTCACCACAACACATTAATTCTTATCCCTTCACAAAAGCAAACATAAGCTAAACATGCTGCTGGGCCAGTAAGTATATATTTAAATTAATTAAATATTTTGTGCAAAATCTATTAAATAAGCCAAAAGTATTGTCACATACAAAAAGAAATAGGCAAGCAATAATAAGCCTGTTTGTACCAGTGAAAGAAAAAAGCAGCACAGCTCTGACAACATCACCTGCTGAAGGTGGAAGAGAAGCTGGACTATGAAGCCGAGGGCACAGGACAAATCTTGATATTTGTATAAAATGAGTTGCTTTATAGAGAGAGTGATATTACAAGATGATATCATTTGTGTGAAGCCTTTGGTTTCATGCAGCACTACTACAGTCAACAGAGATGAAACCAAAGCATCATTTGCCACACACATTTATTCTTTAAAAAAGTGAAATGAGAAAAAATGCACTTGCCATCTGAACAAACTCATTTGATAATATTTTACTGCCGTCATTTTTCCCTCTTTCACAGGACCGTTGTTGTGTATACCAATATGTTTTTTCAGAGATGGAGAAAAACATCACCCAGGCCAAAAGGCTCACTGTCCAAAGTTCCGTCCGAAGCTTGTGTTCTCTCAAATAGTCTTAGAGCAACGATCTGGCATCAAGAAGAGTTTCTGAGGATGACTTAAGCCCATATACAAAGACAACAAATGGTTCTCTCCAAACCAGTTGTGGTTGTTTGGCATTCTTCACCCAGAACTAAACAAACACGTCAAAAACAAAGACCATGTTCGCTCCCTTCATCTCTCTGAGGGAATGTCCTTGGAAGTGACCTGACAATCAGGGACGACCTGGGGGCAGATTTAACCTCCAAGGCGCTGTCCCTCTCCCCAGGCGAACCCTCCTGGGCGCTCCTCAGGTAGGGGGTTGTAGTTGGCATCTTCCTCTGGAGTGTCGAACAGCATCTTTCTGTTGGAGACACACAGAAGAGGAGGATGAGTGGTTTCTAAAGATATATACAGCCGAACTGTTCATATCTGATGTGATGACTAACCATTGTAGGCTATATAACTATTATATTCACTCTACCTAATTATGAATTATTATCTTGGAGCTGTGGAAGTTTCTTTATATTCGACAGAGTTTGTGTAATTACTCTTACTGACGGAGGGGGGTCATGGTTTGAATGCCAGTGTATCTGAGTATTGTTGTTGACCATGTTCATCTCCTTATGCAACAAAACGTCCTCCAGTTAATTGAAAAATTAAAAAGACTGACATGGCTCTATTTGGGAACAGAGAAGGAAGGTTGCAACGTACTGTGGAGTTTACAGCATTAAAGACTTCGACCCATGTAATCATGGATGGGGATCTTAGTTTCAGTGACCACATCAAAGCTATAACTAAATCTGCATTCACTCAAAAACAGTTAAGGTCAGAGACCCTCCTCCACTGGTTTACCAAATCAGACCATTAGCCAGCTCCAGCTTATTCAGATGCTGCTGCTGGGTTTTGACTAAAACTAAGAACAGAGAGCATGTTACTCCAGTTCTCAGATCTTTGCACTGGCTTCCAGTCAGTTACAGAGTTCATTTCAAAGTTTTAGTTATTGTCTATAAGTCACTAAATGGTCTGGGCCTAAAATATGTTTCAGAAATGTTCCATGTATATGAGCCAAATAGGTCTCTGAAATCTGCAGGAGCCGGTCAGTAAGTGGAGACCTGCTAAGACTAAACAGGGTGAAATGCTGCCCACTGGAGGTCAAATCTGCTCTGTTCTCCTCTGCCTTCATCTAATCTTTTAATCTTACACTTTAATGAGATATTATCTATTTTACAATCTGTCTTTATACTGTTTTCTTATTGAATGACCTCTGTGTATGATAATGTGCTAAACAAATGAATTTGCCCTGCCTTCATGGCCACAGTTTACCATCCTCTAATGGCAACTTCCAGCAGGATAATGCTCCACGTGACAAAGCTAAAGACCTGAATCCAGTGGGTGTAGAGACTCACATGATAGACGGGGTCTTGAGCCACCTTCCACCACCTGGCTGGTTGGGGAAAACATCCTCCAGGAAGAAGTACACGTGACCAACAGCGATGCCTTAAGAAAGGTAAAACAATAATTTAAATACAAGCACCATTCATGTTGTACACCACCCATGACGTCAGCTCCTCGGCTATCAGCAGATGACAGTGACGGATACCTAAAAGATCCACGATGATGGAGTTTCCCAGCAGAAGTGAGAATCCCATCAGCACCCAGGGCAGGAAGGGCGCCTGGAAATTCAACAGGCCGAAGAAATTCATGCGAACGTTTGGGTTTCGTCGACTCCACACGTAAACCAGCATGATGGTGAAAGCCTGGCCCAGGAACACCAGACTCACAAAAGTGCCAAATATCTGAGACCTTGTTAAAGACATGAACTCAGCTGACAACAGTAAAGATGCTGATGTGTTTTAGGCCACTTACTTAGACTGCACGTGACACTATTAACAACAGCTCTGACCTTAAAACTGAGTGATAGTTCTCTTGTTCTATGTACATACAGTCCCTTGAGAGAGTATTCAGACCTCTGGTCTGCCCATCAGTCTGCCTGGTCTATCCAGTCTGTCTGGTTTTTGCAGTGTGAATTGTGGGACCTTATATGAACAGGTAAGTGTGTCTTTCTAAACTATGTCAGTTGTAATCACTTCAATTTGCCTCAGGTGGACCCAACATCTAGACTCATCTGAAGGAACATTAAATCAATCAGGCAGCTGACAGTTTGGAGCCACACCAAAGAGTCTCAATACTTTTGATCGACTTTTGATTTTTGATAAATTTGCAAACGTTTCTGAAGGCGTTTCCATTGTGGTATTATGGGTAACTGGCTGTAGATCGATGGACAAAATGGTAATTTTATCATAATATTAAATTTAAACACATTAAAGTGAGAAAAAGGTAAAAGGGCCTGATTATATGAACAAACAGATATTCCACTGACAAACCTCTCCCCACTGGCTTATGATGATTCTCACTGATATGTGCCACTGTGGTAATGCTGCCTACAACTGTATATGTAAGTGGTGTATAACATGCCACTTCTTACATGAAAAACATTCCATTTTGATATACCCAGGGGTTTAATTGTGAGGAGGGAAGCCTTTGTCCAGTGAGGTTGGGGGTTTGGTTCACTTGGGGGCCACTTTTTGATCTCAGCATCACTGGTCATTGGTCAAGAAAAAAATAATAGTTCTAGATAAGAAAATAAATATTTGCAGCTCAGGTGCAGTGTTTGTTTAAGCAGCTGCCACCTTGGTAGCCTGTAATGAAGAAGGAATTCAAAGGTGCAGTAAGAAAGATTTTTACTGACACATAATAACGGCATCACACACACAAAACACACAAAAGTTTAAGGTATCATTAGCTGTAGCCCAGTGATTTACTGGTCATTTGATTGTTCACTAAAGACCTCGTTATCTGTATTTTAATGACTTGTTGATGGGAAGGATACAGTCATCAGAAGCCCACCAAAGAGGAACATGAAGACGAAGTCAGCCGTGCGTCCCCTGAAGGAGCCCTCCTCTAGCATACGACAGTATCTGTACCTGAAAGCAAAGGGTTAAGGAAATCTACACACAACACACATTTCATCATCTTCACCCAAATACACAGGAACTACCACATTATACCTGTTTGTGTTTGATTGGTTGGGCATCTTACAATATGTACTGTATGTCTGTTTGTGTATTCAGACACCAGTGTGGTGTGAAGTTTCATTATCCAGGTTCTCTGGAACCGCACATGTCCTTCCTCTGTGAAACAGAAAGTATGCAAACTCACTTCACACACTGAATGAAGTGAGACATGGAACTGAGAAGGATACAGAAAAATCATATTGAACAGGAAATTGAAGCCAACTGGACCGAAAAACAGGAAGTTGGTTATTAGTCGCCATACCTAGAAAATGAGTGAGAGAGAGAAGACTCAGCTGAACACAACACAGACACACACAGGAGAACACATGAACATAAACACAGGCGCCAGATCCTGGATTCAACAAGACAAAACCTGGTCAAAGCCCGGTGTGTAGATACAGGACATGGTTGACAACTGTTGAGGAACCGCTATAAACAACTGCCTGTAAACGCACCCCTGATGATGTCATAGAAACTGCTCATATCAATTCATTCTGAAAGAGCAACAGCCAATGAGGAAACTCCAACACAAAGCCGGCCGACCAATAGTGTAACTGCAGCACTTATGATGTGAATGATAAGTATCAGATCAGTTTGTGTCAGAAACCACATTTGTTGCCTGAAAGTAAAAAAAAAAAAAAGAAAAGAAAAGAAAGAAAAGAAAAAAACTAAGAAGTCTCTTCTCATTTGGATTAAATTTTCTACCTGACTCTAATTTGTGGTTGACTAAGTAAGGTAGCTGAGGTTAGTAGTGCTGTTCAGTGTATGAAATGTTATCCACATCCTGAGGATGAGAATAAACAGTATGAACTCACCTGGTAATTCCTTAGAATCAAATCCGGATTGAAATATAGCTGAAATGGTGTGATGATCTCTAGTTGCTGTGAGAGAAGACAAAACAAAGATAACATTAAATATGATAAATATAATTATAAATGATAATCCTGCTTTGACAAACATTTAACATACATTTCAGAGGTGACCCTCCCCATCCCATCGCTTGTAGTGATTAGTTGAGATTAGACAGTGTCTTCATGGAGGATACTTCTATATGTGGAGAGTTCATCCATGTGTCTACAGTTGTTGTGTTTTATTCTGACCTGCAAATACACTGAAAGGGTTTCTTTTTCACCCCAAACAGAATATGAGGTTTTACATAACAGAATATAAGAGCCACACACAGCCTAGTTAGCATATTCAGTTTCATGTACAAATAACTGGTTTATTCTAGTCTACATGAACTGGGTATATAACAGTAGTGTAATGCATAATAACAATGCATAATATCTGTATCTGAGGAAGTTCACTCCAACTTCATTTCCTCAGTTTTCATTTGTATTCTGTAAAGCAGCACAGGCTTCAGTTTGGGATTATGTGTAACATCAGCCATCTTTATTCAGTCTGAATATTGAATTTAAGTACACCCTTGTGGTTTTATCCTATTTGTTTACATTCTGGCTCATTAACATCATGAAGTTCCTGCTGTGTTGTCTAACAATCAGCTGATCCCGCTGATGGTGCAGAAAAAACCTGAGATCTGTGATGATAAGGAGATCTGAAGTTATAAGGAGCACCAGAGCAGAGTATTCTGTATTTACATCTAACTTTAACATTAATTGAATATTCAAATAAATTCACAAAAACCTACCAACAGAAAACAACTAAATACTTGGACTTTTTGTGTGCCACAGTGATTAATTGCAATTCAAAAGAAACTAGTTCCAAAGACAGTTTTTTTTTTGTATTACATAATTAATCAGAAAAGAGAATGAGCCTCTGAATCACTGCCAGCAGCATTATTCAGTGTAGAGAATGATCTGTGGTGTGGTAGAAACGAAAGTGAAAACACCATGAATGAACAATTCTCATGTGATTTAGGCAGTTATGTTTCAAATGACTTACTAGGCTCAAGTGCAGTGTTATATTTGTACATCAGAAACACATTGTTCTGACACATCTTAGTTGGAGCAGATTGAGAGAACAAGTGCAAAACACTGATGCCTGTCACATGTTTTGTGCTATTAACAGCTTCCCAATTATTTCCCACTGACCAAACAAGCTTGAACTAATTCTCAGCTAAATCAACTCCACAATATTCATTATTAAATTAGGAGAGAATACATTCTATGATAAGTAATCATACAAATGGATAGTTAGACACATTTTTATTTCAAAACTCACTTTAAAAAAGCCATTTTCCCCAATCACACTTTTATTTCAAGTCAGGTTTTATTTAACATCACTGTTCATGAGACAGTGATGTCTCTGCTCCCTCACCTTTCAGCAACAACAAACCTCGCCGGCTAAGTGGCTAGGTCAGCTTTAAAGTGAAGAGCCAGTGTTAGTATTGTTAGCTCGCTCCTGTCCATTTGCTCTTCACAGATTTGTGTTCCTTTAGCATCAAAACACTATAGACTAGAAACACTATAAATACTGATATGTCAAAGAGACTAGATATTGTGTGGGTTATTGTGATGCTTTACTAGTCTGATTATGTCTTTTCTTGGCCTCAGAAGCTGCAGAACAGTGAAGTGATAAAAGTTTCTGCTCTTGCATCACCCTAATTTATGATAAATAAATTAAATAAAACTGTCATCAAATTACCAGCGGGTATGGTGCATTAAAAGATTTGGGATATTTGACTTTGTTAATAATTGTAGAGTCAGGTTTCTAAATATACATGTAGGTTGTTAAAATATTTACTCTTATTAGTGACACACACCCTTAACTTTATTTAACTAATTAACAATTCAGCATGTTTCTGTAAAATATCAAGTCATTCCTCTGCTGTCTCTCTAATGTCAAAGTATATTCTCCCTGCAAGATACAGAAGTGTGGTGGCAGGTCAGAGACCAGGGAGGAGAGGCACAAACCAGTGTGACACACGTGTACAATATTACTATGAACTGGGGAGTTACCCACATCTCTCTCACTACAATCCCTCTGTCTCAGTAGTTTAGTAGTTGATCCACGGGGGGGGAAATTCACAAGTACAGGTAACTAAACAATGTACCTGAAACATTTTCAGCCTTTTAACTTGAGTATTTGCACTTCATGATACATTTTACTTCTGCTCCATTGCACTTCAGAGGCAAATGTTGTACTTTTTTAACTACACTACATTTATTTGACAGCTGGAAATACTGTTACACCAGCATATATACGACTGGCTTACATATGTTGCATTGTATTAGATAAAATTACCAATCAGTATATAAAGTAGTTAAAACATGCTCCACCTTGACCATCTGAAACATATGTTAATGGGACCATAATAAGAATTCAGACATAATACTGTAAATAATAATACAACAACCTGAAAGAGATCTGTACTTCTAATACTTGGCCTACATTTTGCTAATAACAATTCAGATCCTTTACTTAAGAAATCTTTTGAATGCAGGACTTTCACTTGTAATGGAGCATCTTTACACTGTTGCATTTGTACTTTGGCTAAAGTGAACGGTCTGAGTACATCAACCGACAGAGTTTTTATTATATTGACAGACAGGTCTAAAGATAATATGTATGTAATAACAGATAATATATATAAATTTCTTATCATGAAATTAAATTAGTTTCAAACTATAGATAAAGCGACTGAATTATGATTTCTAATTATAAATAAACTTCATGTAAAGCAGCTGTCAGACAGACAATGCAGTTCAAAGTGCTACATCATTACAGTACATAAAAAAAAACATTGATACGCACGACATTAAAATACAAACCAAAGAGGGCAGACTTATTTTAAATACAGATAATGACATCATCTGGATTGCACCTCATATCTTACGAGGTGTAAAAACATACATGTCTGGTTTTGAGAGTTGAAGTTACTGTGGGTTCCCTCTGGAGAGAACAGCACACAGTTAGCTGCAGCATTAACAGCAAAAGTTAGCGGCGCTTACACTGTAGGTTCACTGGTCAGAATCAAACCGAGACTCCGGCCACAGGCAGTTCAGCTTTCAGCCTTTAGAGACTTGAAAAACAGAGTTAACATCCTGGAAAACCAGGTTCAGACACGTATCCTTCCCATAGCTGCTACAGCTAAACCATCGAGCTAGCAGGAATGTAACGACGTTACGTTAGCGATGCTAAGCAGCTCCAAGCTGTGGCTCTGCCGGCACAAGGAAAACATGAATTAGTCTTACCACTGCAGCAGTTGTGAGGACACATGCGGTTGTATATGCCCTGGTAACAACAGGAATCTGTAGATACTCCTGCTGTAGAGTCTGGTAAGCCATTTTGGACAAGCTGGTAGCTTCCGGCACTTTGTTGACACGTCATTCCACAAAGCAAAAGGTGCTGCGTTCAAGCACGTGGGACAAAAATGCAAAACATCAAACCACTACGCTGTAAAGAAGAAGAAGAGAAGAGAGATTTGATTCAAGACCAAAAAAAAAAAAAGATTTGAGGCACTGACATCGTAAAGCCGGGCATGGCGGAGGTGATAATAACAATAATAATACAAACTTTATTTATATAGCACTTTTCTTAACAATGTTACAAAGTGTTTCACAGAAAATAGAGATCTAAAAAAGGAAAAAAAAGAAAATGCATCTCTTAAAACACTGCTGGATAATAATAATCATCATTAATATATATATATATATATATATGAAAACAAAAATGGATTTTAATAGGCTTATTATTTTTACAAGACTTGAATTGCATTAGTTGAGTAGAGTTGATCGCTTGAAAAATACATAATATATAATAAAGTAACACTTTCTAATACGTATAATAAAATGTATAAATCTTACCTATCTAATGTCTTAATTATTAATGATTAATACATTATTTTCTATAACTTATAACTCGTGCATTAGAACTACCTTTGGGCTGCCTTGTCGAGCTGTCACTTGTCTTGTTAGTTTGATTGATCAGGAGGACCCTCTAATGGACCACTACTGCAGACAACATGTATAACTGCAGACTTGATGGCTCATTAGAAAAACTGAAACCTACAAGAGATTATTAATGGATTACCAACATGTATAATTACATTATTACCAAATTGAAAGGATAAAAACACAATAAATCATTAAGCCCAAAGTGACAACCTCTTTATTAAAAAGGAGCCAAATGCCCATTAATATAAAAATAACACATGCTTTTATCCATAGCTTCTTATCAAACATGAAACCCAAGCAGAGGACTGGTAGGATGAGAGTTAATGAAAAAGAGGCACAGCAGTGTAATCCTGTGGGTCTTTGTGGATCTTGCAAGGGTGTGTAATGGGTGTTACAAAAGAAACACACTACATAACCAGTTAGTCATTCAGGTCAGTGTATTCATACTCATCTGATTTTACCAAGTGTCCTCTGGTGTTCCTCTTCTCCACAGTCCCCGGGGCTGAAACACAGCAGCTGCATAAAGCTGCCTTATATAAAAGAAGCAGCAGCCACCTGCACAGGTGTGCTGATGGCAGATGAAACCATGTTTTGCTGGGTTATGGGTCATGTTACTGAATTAATGAAAGTGTGGTAAGGTTTTGGGAGTAGAGTTGCAGACTATGTGAAATAGATGATAATTGATTTAATTAGATTTTGGTTGGTCTAAGGGGAGGGGCTTAGCGTAACTCACTTTTTTTTTGTAAATAAAAGCACAGCACCTCAATCTACTTTTGTGACTCAAGCCATCTTGTTATTTTTCTGAGACAGTTGACCCACAGTTTTTGTTACAACCTCTGATGACTGCCACACACAAAGAAAGACGGCCGCCCATCAGATACTGTCTGCCACTCAAGAGTGACTGGCAAAGAGGGCAAGTTTATCCCGTTTTTCCTTCCACCTATAGCAGACTGAATTGATTGGACAAAGTTTAGAAAGACACACACCTGGGTATATAAGGTCCCACGATTCACACTGCATGTGAGGACAAGAAACGATCCATGAAGTCCAAGAAACTCTGTAGACCTCCAAACAGTGGCGAGGCATAGATGCCCTAAGGGTTGGGGTCAGTTGCAACACCTGAATTCTTCCATTCAAATAAATATTGTGAATCATATGTAATCATCTTTAAATGGTGTAAAGATGTAAGTTTAATATATAAAAGTTTGGTTTGTCTAGAACAGACAGTCTCTGAGTAACTGAGAGAAATGTAAAAAGTGTTGCAACTGTCCCCAGTCTCCTGATAAACACCCTGTTGTGAAAAGCACAGCTTGCAGATTTGGTGCTATAACCCTAACCAATCATCACTCACCTCAAAAGATCCACTGGACTAAAGACAGGGCGAGTGATAATCTTCAGCTCCGGCTCTCAGAATTAAACGTGTGGAGTGTGAGAGTTGTTCTTCAGCGACTCCACATTTGTCTGTTATAAATGTGAGTTCTTCATTTAGACTCAGGTGGTTAAAGAAGGACGTTTTAGAAGGAAGTTTAACTTTTAGTCCAACTCCATAACTATCAGATAGATTGTGACTGAGAGGAGACCTCCATGTCTGTCATCAGTGTTTGAAACTGTTTTGATTATGATGGGACAAAAGAATAAACCCCTTTTTTATGCCTCCTCGCTGGTGAGGGCAGGAGCCATATTGTTTTCAGGTTGACGGTCCATACGTCCCATTCTCGTCGACACAATACCTCAGTTGGAACGTCCTCATATTTGGCACAAACATTCACCTAGACTCAAGGACAAACTGATTAGACTTTGGTGGTCAAAGGTTAAAGGTCAAGGTTAATGTGACCTCACAAAACACTTTTTAGCCATTGCTCAAGACTTCACAGCAATTATGACAAAATTTCACACAAATGCTTCATATTTGATACGACTCTGGACAAACAGGGATGTGACCTGAAACTAGTCTGAGTGGAGGAGGGATACAACCACAAGGAGATGACTATTTTTTTTTTTTTTTTTACAACCATCAAGGGAACCTGGGAGCAATTTAGACCCATTACTACATATAAAATCAACAAAGTGAGAGATTGGCATTGAACCTTATTATCAAGGCCCAGCACCCAGCTCATGGTGCGAGGCAGAGTAACACAGTTAATGAAGGATATATTTGGGATAAACAGCAGGTGTGGTTGTGAGGTCCTGACTCCCCTCCTGCAAGATTATTTTACTTGCTTCCTAAGATTCATGAAGCACCTGAATCCTGTTCCCTTCAAAGTCCCCAGTGGCTTTCTGATTGTCAGTGACTGTGGGTCACAATCAGGTAATACAAACCATTTTCTGAATGCTTTATCTCCCAGACATGATAACCATATGACGGACATGTGATCATGTCCAAAAACTGAAAAACATAACCCAGGTTTAGGTATTTCTGTTGGTTTGTATAATTCGTTTTTCAGAATAACACCAACCTTTTTGTTCTCTCTCTCTTTTTTTTTTTAATATGCACTTTAATACATTTGGGACTGTTTGAACAAACAGGTGCAACTATTATCAAGATTAAGACCTGTGCCAGTAAAACTTCATGACTCTTAGAATTATGATTGAAGTCCCCTAACACATGACCATCAACACCTCATGCCTGAACCATATGGTTATTACAGCAGGGGAGCTGACTATAGCACAGCACCTATGGTTTAGGGAGTTTATCTGAATCAAGGGTCTGAAAGGGTCTGAGGACAGAGGGTCTGAGGACAGAGGGTCTGGGGACAGAGGGTCTGGGGAGAGAAGGTCTGGGGACAGAGGGTCTGAGGACAGAGGGTCTGGGGACAGAGGGTCTGGGGACAGAGGGTCTGGGGACAGAGGGTCTAAAAGAAAACGGATCTGAGGACAGATGGTACAGATGCATTTATGATCTTGGCCTATATAAATGAAACTGACTTGACCTGTGTGAAAACAGCACAAGTTAAAATCTTCCAGTACAAATCTTCATGATGGATCAGAAGTTGATGAGAGTTAAATAATATATTCAATGCTGTGTTTATGAAGATGGTTGTTTGTCTTTTTAATAGAACTCATGACTCTCATCCTCGACTCTGTACAGGACAGACTGTGCTGGCAGGGGGAGTCCTCAGATGAGGATGAGACACGGTCAGGATGTGGATTCTCGCGATAGCACCGCGCTCCCACTCCAGTCAGTGCGCTTCTGTAAAGATGGCGGTCAGCAGCATCCGAGGCCGGTCGTCACGGAGCAGTCGGATGCGAGGTGAGACTCGGCTGTCAGCGGGAGTTGAGACCGCCCTGAGACAGTGCGGACCCCGCGAGCTGCTGGTCCCGGTCTAAACTCTGTGTTTGTGCCGACAGGTCGGAATGACAGCGGGGAGGAGAACGTGCCGCTGGATCTGTCCAGAGGTAGGTAGAACCAGTAGAACCAGTAGGTAGAACCAGTAGGTAGAACCAGGGGAGCAGCTGTTCGCTCCCCGGACTCAGCATCACCGGCTGTGACCCGGTGCTGGTCTCACCGGGATTGTCCAGGTGTGTTCTGTGCAGGTGTGTTTCTGTGGGTGATGTCATGCTCAAACTAACTTTTAAAATAGTTTAACTTTCACTGCATCAGCGCTTGTCTGGCTCCTTTCTTCTTCTTTTTTTTATCCAAGTCACTCAGACAACACTTCAGTCACGTGGCTCCAGTAATGTAAACTATATTATTCAAGTGATGAGTCAGTTCTTACCTGAACACACTTCACTTCAGAGGAACATGACCCAGCGCTCTCACTTCGGAGTCATATATAACAAGTATTCCCATATTTGATTTTATTTCTCAGTGGTCCACTTTGTCTTGGTAAAAAGAAAAAAATAAATTTAAAATAAATTTCAGTACCACTTTACAATAAGACTATTATTGTAGTGGTTTATAATGAAGTTATTAATTCAGTTGTAATTGTTAAGACTATAAATCATAAATAAACAGTTATGAATTTATAAGTTATAATACAGTTATATATATAGTTATATACATTGATGCAGCTCACTATTTGGCAAGATCAAGTTAATGCTCACTACTCATTAATCTTACCAATGAGTTACTACCATTTATAACTGGTAAAAGTAGTAAGTCATTAATAAATGATGATGTGTTTTACCCTTTTACCAGCTAGAAATGTTTGTCACTGATAAGTAAGTGGTTGTAAAGATGAGAAGAAGAAACATGAAGATGATGGAGGGAGAATCACAGAGATGTGAACAGTGGGACAAAGAATGGGTGAGCAGTTCACCAGGTAAAGGAAGGTTCCCACCTGTGTTCTACCTGGATGATAAAGTCCTGAAGAAGAGACCAACCAGCAAAAAGCATCTGCATGTTAATATCTGATCAACAGCTGTGATTATAATGAGGACGGCTCCTGAGAGCATGTCAAGGTAAACAACACTGCCCAGGCCTCAGAGGATGAATCTGCTCATTTGATATGATCATGTGATCTGCCATAATTTGATCTGCCATATGCAACTGTTTGAGCATTAAGATGCTGACGGTGGTTCATTGATAGTAACTGAACAAAAGTGATGAAGCAGCAGGTACAAATGCTGATGATGGAGAAAACAAAGGAAGCTCAGTAACTAATGAGACATGAGGCTGAACAGTACAGAGACATGTGGGCTCACTATTTGGCAAGCAGCAGGTCACTGTTGCCCTTTTCATCTAACATGTTATAACAGCTAATAAATGATTTATAAGTGTTAAGAAGCTAATTAATAAACTAATTATCAACCATTCATAAATCCTTTATAAGGGTCATCTGATTGTAAAGTGATACCTGTTGCCTTGAGTTGATTACAGTGTGAGAGCTACAAGCTTGTAGTTAAGTGAACATTTTTATTTACTTTGGTATTAGGTCTGCACGATATGCAGAAAAACAAATCAGATTGTGATTATTTTAACAGATATTGTGATAAGAGTCACGATTTCAGTTTGAATGATCACTTTTGCATTTTCATTTTCACTGCAAATTTTTTAAAAGTGATGATGATGTGACTTTTGTTGGTCTTGTACCAAACAAACACGTTTCTTCTCTGATTTGTAGGACAGGGCATGGCACCACAACACTTATAGTCCTAAGTGCTAAGAATGCACAACAATGTGACACATTTGACCTTCATCGAAAAAATGCTGCTCCTGTGATGTTTTCCTTGTAGCCCCTGTGATTGGGATATTGCACTTGGCCATATTGTGATTTTCATTATATTTTGATTAATAGCAGCTTTATATGGCACCTCTAACTTTACCAATATCAGTCTTGTAGAGCCGGGAGGAGTATTTCCTCTCTGACAGCTGAGAAGGCTCAAACCGTTCCTCCTTCTCTGCCTTCCGGAGCAGAGCTGCTGCCATCCTTGACACTGTGTTTAAAAACTCATTTTGTCTTGACTTTCAAATGTTTGAGGTTGTATTGTGATATTCAATATTACTGATTTATCACAATATTTCTTACAATATGTGATAATATTCATATATTTTTTTCATATATCAAATCAATCTTACATTTCATATAATATTGAAAAAAATGTTTTTGCACTTTTGCACAGTCTGCCCTGCTCACTGTACACTGAGATGCTTACTGTACACTGTAGCTTGGCGTGTGACAAATAAAACTTTGAACTGCTGTCAGCTACAGCTAAAATATTAATATCACTAGTCTCCATCGTCCCCATGTTTGAAGAGGAGCTTCAATAAGATGGTTTCTGTTCAGATGGAACTGATTTGTTTTATCAAACACAATTCACAAACCTTTTTCCTGAAGGTGTGGAAGCCATTTTTGACTTTGCTTGATGAGCCCTAACTACATTATAAACCCCTGAGCTTCACTGATGTGCTGTGTCTTTATTCTGTGTAAGCTCTGTCTTATCCTGAATACTGACTGATATTCTGGCACCCACTTTGTTTTGTTTTGTTGTCCTTGAATCTCTTGGTGGACGGGACAGTCTTACCTGTGTTTTATTTGTTGGTACTTTTGCTGATGGGAATCCTGGATATGAATTCCTTGACTTTCTGTCATTTAGTGTAAACGTAGTGGGAAATTTATGTCTATTGATTCTACTGTGTGTTTAAAATGTAACTCCTTGATTTGGGTGTTTGTACTCTGTGACAATCAGTGGCGGACAGCCCGTCTGGAGCGCTGGGTTATTTCCTGGTGGCCTGAGGGTCAACTTGACCGGTGATAATGTAACAAGCAGGAAGGAGTTGATAGACCTCTTGTGTCACCTCACCTGTGTATGACGGTTATCTCGCCTAACTGCTGCAGCTGCAGTGTGTGTCCACACCTGCACTGCTACTGCCAGCCCAATCTTTCTACATTAGTTTGGCTTTAATAAAGGTCATCAATAATCATAATTATCCAGTGTTGCTGCGTGATTGGAAATGTGTAGACTTGTAACCAGAAAGCAGTCATGTTATTTTTGTTTCCCCTCCTTGGGTGAGAGAGAGAGAGTGAGAGAGAGAGAGAGAGAGAATTGGAACAGAATTGGTGACCTGATGGTTTCTGTGAAGGTGGCCTGGGATGCAGTCAGATTCTTGGCCTGAATTATTGTCTCAGTCCGCCCCTGGTGACAATGGATGTGTAAAAAGAGAACGGCGCCCACTGAGGCTGCTGATGGACGGGGCCCAGATTTCTGTGATACACCACTGAAGATGATATTGTCTACCAGGCCAGTTTCCAGTTTAGCTTAAGCAAACTCTTTAGAGTATGTGTTCCTTGCTTGGGTGAGAGAAGGAGTGGGAGAGATGGCACCTGAAGTCACCTCAGGTCACCTGTCAGCTGGGCTCAGCAGACTGATGACAGCACTACCTATTACCCACTGCAGCGCAGACCATCGTTTGACATGAATACTGGGCATCCACAGGATTACTCACCCAACTCTGGCACATTTACTACTTTATATTCATTTATCTTGTATAATATATGTATTTATATATATATATATGTAGCCTATATATTTATCTTTATAACCTCCTTCATATTCTCTATTCTTTGCTGAGGGAGCAACTGTAAATCAACCTAATTTCTACATACTGATAACTATTAGACTTTTAACAGATTATTACAGTGAGAGACTGTTTCACAACAGAAAGGAAGATGTGGACTGTCAATAAATAATTCATCTGGTGTGGGTACCAGTATTTACCCCCACTGTATTTGTTGTTCCAGTTTAATCAGAGTGCGAATTATAAAATGACAGTCTCAGGGTCAACATTTTGTCAAGGGCGACAGAGGAACCCAGTACAGTGCAGGTGATTCAGTGAAGTGTTACAGTCTGTATAGTATCTTGCTTGATAAACTAAAGCTGTCAAATGAATGTAGTGGAGAAGAAAGTTCAAATTTCCCTATAATGTAGGGGTGAGAGTATAAAGTAGCATAAAATGGAAATAATCAAGTTAAGTACCTCAAAATTATAGACTATTAACATGAAATAAACTACAACAGTTTGCTAAAATTAGACAATATATGGCATTTTGTCTTGGTAATGAAATGCAAAGCTAACATTGGAAATTAAAGGGCACACTATCAGCTAGCTAACATTAGTTAGCTAAACTGTAACTTAAAGCTTAAGTTCGAAACTAGCTAACATTAGTGTTCATCCATAGATAGTGGATACAATCTAATTCAGAAACTCTAAAGGTAAGAAAGTAAAGTGTACCAAGTCTTAATCTGAGGAGTCAGAGAGAGAGAGAGCTTAGTGTGGTTGTTTTTTTCTGTTTGATGGCAACACCAACGCTACTACAATACTATATAAGACAAACCTGAAGTCAAACTTGACAGAGAGTAAGAATCAGTCATTCATTGTGTGAAAGGAATATCTTTGACATGAAGGTGTGGTGTTTGAGACTGTCACTCTGAACTAAAGGCCGTGCTGCTCTTCACTGATTTCAGATCCTGCAGAGAACCTCCGTGAAATCCTTCAAAACGTTGCAAAGCAGCAGGGAGTCTCCAACATGCGCAAGCTCGGTCACCTCAACAACTTTGTAAAGGTTTGTGAAAACAACACTACTAACAACTAAGCCACACTGGGACTTCCCTGGTGACCAGTCAGTCTGACCAGTGAATTGGGCGTCCACAGGCTAGATACAAGGTCTCATAAGTACCAAAAAACCTCGGCTCTCTAACCTCAGACATGACTGGTTTGTCATTGAGAATCTGGGTTACAAATACAACAGATACAAGATGGTTAGAAACAGAGGAACTGCCAAGTATTAGCCATTTGAGTGAGATGACTGTGGTGTTAAAACTGTCTGAAAACTCTTCACATAGAAATGTCGTAAAACACAATGCACAAATAAATGTATCTGTAAACCTGTATCTGTTCCTCTAATTTACAAATCGTATATATCATCATTAGTTTGTTAACTTAAAATGTTTCATTGTACACATATTTGTGAATCTCTATCCATTTCTGTGGATCCTTTTGAAGCTGTTTTACTGCGCAGTTTTGTGTCACACAAAATTCAAAAGTGGATGGATTTATGGATGGAAACTGCTGTTAAACTAAACAGAAGAGGAAACTTTGATCAGATGCCATTGTACCGAAATTGCCTGCAATTCACCTGGATTATGATATAATCCTCAATGATTTATGACTCATTACAACAAGACACCTCTATTGCATCTGGTCTCTACAGACATTTTTGAAACTTACATTGTTACTGTATGAATAAAACTGAGATACAGAGATGTAGAGATGCTGGTGGCTCAAATAAACATGCACTAGATAAATATACATGGCTTGTATTGAAGTTATCACTTCTCTGTATTTCTGTCCACAGCTTCTCTGCAGTGTCGGCCACTCAGAGGAGAAGCTTGGCTTCACATATGAGGAGATAATTATTTGGTGAGTATTTGGAAATGTTAGCTAAAGCTAACAGTATTGCAGTGTTATTGGTCTGTCAAGTCTGTCCTGACTTTCTTCTCCCAAGTCTTCGGCTAGCGTTGTTAAATGAGGCCAAGGAAGTCCGTGCAGCTGGATTACGAGCTATGAGGTACTTGATCAGAGACAGCAATGTACTGGAGAAGGTGCTTCGTCTGCAGGTGGACTATCTGATTGCGAGGTGAGTGAATACGACATGGCTGAGGGAGGCTGACAATTTAATAATAAGTAGTCTTCATGTACATACATGTAAATGCTTCATAACAAGGTGCCATAGCAACTGAATTCATCCAACTTTAACACAGAATTTAAAAGTGAACTGATTTAAGCTAGGGCCCGATTTATCGGTATCGGCGCATATATTCTCCGATATGTGCTGATATGAATACTTTTATTAAGAAGGAACAATAATGCAGTGGAAATACTCGGATCAAGTCAAATTATATATTATATATATATATTGAGCCTTTGTTTTCATTCAAGTTAAATTTATGTGTATATATATATATATATACATACATAATATATATACATATTTGTTCATATGTTTTATTTTTTTAAATATTTATTTTATTTAATTCTAAGTGAAGTTTACCGTTTCAGTGCACTGATGTCATTTTGGACGATAAAGTTTATTGTTAAACTGTAAAATATCCTGCTTTCATCACATCTTTTTCACAAGTGTTCCCTAATATCGACATCGGCCCCAAAAATCTAATATCGGTCGGGCTCTAATTTAAGCCGCTGATTTCAGTTTTCTCACTACTGTAATCTTGACCTTCTTTCAGCCTTTAGCAATGCATGTCACATCATTTTAAGCATAATTATTGGAATTTTCTTGGCAAGATGCATCTTGGGAGTCATACTTTTTATATAAATAAGCTGGCACCTTCAACTGTTTATCAAAGAACCAGTTATACTTCATCTTTTGTACTGATGATTCAGTCAGTAGTGTTTTAGCCAGTCCAAGTCGTAGAAGTGCTCTGTGAGTCATCTAACGCTCTCAGTGGAAAAAATAAATGGGACGTTTACTTTCAGACTGGAAGTAAAAGTTATGCCTGAAGTACCTCTTCCCACTTTGCAGCTCTATTACGTCTGTGTAATAACAGATTGCATTCCCCAGTCATACACCTGTCCTCCCTGTTCTGCCCCAGGTGTATAGATATCCAGCAAAGTAATGAGGTTGAGAGAACGCAGGCTCTCAGACTGGCACGCAAGGTGAGATCTACTTCCATCACATGCTCTTCCCATCGGCTTTATAGAGTATTCACATAGTCACATAGCTGCTGCTTACCATCAAAGACAGAAGCCTTGGACTCAAGGATGAACTGATTAGATTTTGGTGGTCAAAGGTCAAAGGTTAAGATCACATTTTTTGGTCATAACTCATAAATCCATACATTAATTATGACACAATTTAACACAAATGTCCAACAGGATAAAATGATGATGTTATTACATTTTATATCCAAATAGTCAAAGGTGAGCTTCACTGTGACATCATAATAACACTTCTTGCCATTATTCAACACTGTAACTCAGGAAGGAGAGACTGTGACCATATATCCAGCTTGGCTGGTTGGGGAAGGAAACAACCCAGAGGAGGTGATTCTAGTTCCACACATGAAGTAGTGGTGCCCAACGCCCGGAAACACTTTGATGTGTAATAGTAGTTATAATTTATGATCCTGAATGTCTGTAACAAAGTCAATGGCAATTCGTGTAATAGTTGTTGAGACATTTTACTCAAAACCACAAACCTCAACCTTGTTATGGTGCCAGAGGAAAAGTCAGTGGATCACCAAAGTCCTCAGGATCCATCTGAGTCCATCAAACAGGTGTGGAGATATTTCAGTCAGAGAGACTGACCACCATCCCTCCGCATGTTGGTAAATCTGACTGGCTGCTGTGTTTGTTTCCTCATAGATGATCACTGTGAATGCGCTGCTTTTCCCCTCCTCTGTCACCAACTCCCTCATCGCCGTGGGCAACGACGGGCTGCATGAACGAGATCGTATGGTGCGGGCCTGCGTCGCCATAATCTGTGAGCTCTGTGAGTGAAAACAAAGTGCGCACACACACACACACGCGCGCACACACACACACACACGTACTCATTCCCACTCTGACGTCAGCAGTGTAACAGTGTTGGCAGAACTCTGTATGGCCCCTTTATTCTGCAGCCTTGAAGAACCCTGTTGTGGTGGCACAGCGGGGCGGGCTCAGCACCATCCTGAGGAGCGTGACCGACTGTCAGCTGAGTCGCATCAATGAAGCTCTCATCACCACCGTCCTGCACCTCCTCAACCACCCTCACACCAGGCAGTACGTCCGCTCTGACGTTGAACTGGAGGTACTGACACATCTCTCGCTGAAGATGTTCAGCTTAAAGTGTGTGTGATGTTATTTATAACACAAAATGTCTGTGTTTCCCAGCAAATCTTGGCCCCTTACACTGACTTCCACTACAGACACGCTCCTGACATAGCAGAGGGGCATCTCAAGTGAGTTCCTCACAGTCTGTGGCAGCATGTAACATAAATCTTGTCACTTGTTTTTGTCACTGTTACTTTTATTTTTGCTGTTTCCTTCAGGGAGGACAGGGAGGCTCGATTCTTGGCCAGTAAAATGTCTATAGTCGCCTCATTTCGTTCCTGGTCTGGTAAATGTTAAATTTAAAATCTCCTCTTTGAACCCTCAGAAAACATAGTTCCCTCTGTACACTGTGTTCATCTCTGCACGCCTCATTAACATTTCATGGTTTATAGCATGCTGGGATATTTGACTGTACAGTACAGTTGGTGCTGTGTTCCTCTGACTAACTCCACTTCACCTTGCAGGCATCATTAACCTCTGCAAGTCAGGCAGCTCTGGGATCGAGTCACTCATTGGTTTGCTCTGTATACCAAATATGGAAGTGCGGGTAGGTGCTCAGTATATTGTAACAGTCACACTTGTTTGCTTTGAAGGACACAACCTTCAGCCACCAGCTAAAGGCGTGTGCTTCTGCAAAGACAGGACATTACTGCATCAGTCTAAATATGAGACATGATTTGTAGTCTCTTTAAGCACCTGGTAAAACACTCACTGTGTTTGGCTGCAGAAGAGGTGTATACAGTAAAGGCCTCAATGACCAGGGACCAGAACACTATTGTTTTAGTACATCTGAACCAACATAAGAATATGTCCTCCCTTAAATACATCTATTTGATATTTTAGAATATGTACTGTGTAAATTATGTGTAATACATTGGAAAGCTAGATTTGCACCAGCTCCATTTAAGTCAAGTAACATAGAAGAGGGATGGCATTCTGTATTGCTAGCATGATCTGAAGCAGATCGGGGGCCTGTACTATGAAATTCAACTTAGACTGCGGTTGAAAAGTCTTTTTTTCTTATGAAGGTTCAAACTGAGTGAAATGAGCTGAAGTGTCTGAGCAGCATCATGATCACAGCTGCTCCACTTCTCTACATGAGGAGGAAAGGAGCTTCAATGCTTCCTATCTTATCTCCTTTAACAAAGGAAACACTAGACCTACCTTTATGAAAGGAAAGGAGATAATGCCGTCCCACAATTCCCTGCAGCATCAACATTTAAAGCAACACACCATTATAGTTTCACCACAGCAGACCCACATCAATGTAGAAACATCAGAGCAGCTGTTTTATGTTTGTGACACGATCCAGAACTGATGGAAATCCTTGTCTGATCCACTGAAGCCCGAATCCATAAATATAGATTTATTCTCTTTAAATCCAGTGAGGAGTCATGAAGAACAAGCAGGCTGAATATATAGTTAACAATATCATCATCATAACTAGTGCTACATACATGAATCCCCTCCCATTGTGGAATTGTTACTTTAATGGCTCAGCTTTCTCTACTTGTGTATTTCTTCCTTGAGGTTTTCCGTCGAGGAGACGTGGTTAGAGAGGAGATTATTTTGACTTTTCGACCGCAGCCCCAGTCTGACTCTCTTTAGGTTACCTGCTTCACTGAGCCTAACACTGATGATCCTGAATAACTGGTGTCATGTTATCATGGTCACCAACCGCCTCTGTTTAATCTGGGTTTCTTTATCCAGCTACAAGCTCGAGGCAGATTCCTGATTAAAAGCAGCATCATCAATATGAAGTTAGATGACACTCAAGGGGAAAATCAGTTAAAGCAAAAAATGATATTGATATTGAAATATAAACAATATAATGAATAAGAGTTGTATTGAGACTTGAAATGACCTGGTTTTCTGCATTAATGGTCATAAAATGAATGATCTTCATCTGAGTCACAAGTACAGACAAACACAGTGCTTCTGAGCTGATATCACACACTTTAAATGAAACATTCACAGTGCTGGTGGAAAAAGAAAGTGAACCGTTGGATTTAATAACTAGTGTTTGTTACATCACTGATCATCTGTGTTGAGCTGGACGTCCACTTCTAGGGAGAGTAGCCACAGAACTGAAACATCTCCATTTATAGACAGTTTGTTTAACTGTGGGCTGATGAAGAGCTAAACTCTGAGACTGTCTCAGCTTCATGCTCATCATCTCTACTTCATCCTCAGTCTCTGAGATCTTTGTTGTGAGGCCTGGTTCACATCAGCTGATGTTTCTCGAAATGTCCGGGTTGTCCGTCTGTACATCCATCCATCCCATTCTCATGGACGCAGTATCTCAGTAACACCTTGATGGAACTTCTTCAAGTTTGGCATACATATTCACTTGGACTCAAAGATGAACTGGTGGACTGAACTGGATTTTGGTGGTCAAAGGTCAAAGTCACAGTGATGTTGTTCTTGTCAATGTAATATATCGGGAACGCTCAGAGGGAATTTCAAGACTTCTGTGACACTGTGACCTCACAAAACACGTTTTTGGCCATAACCCACTCTAATTATGACACAATTTAACTCAAATGTCCTTAAGGATGAAATTAAAGGTCAACTTCACTTCAAGGTCAAAGGTCAACTTCACTGTGACATTATAATGTTCTGCAAAAATCCCTCTGGTCATTATTTAATGCTGTAACTCAGGAAGGAGAGACTGTGACCATGTTTTCTGATACTTGTCTGGTTGGTGGAGGAAACAACCAGGAGGAGGTGTAGTCTAGTTTGTAACTCAAAGTGTCTCTAACCCAAAACCTCCAATCTGGTTTCACTGACTGACTCCAGCTAGCTTCTGTTCATGTCATTAGTCGAGGGCTTCACACACTGTTTCCAGCTGAACAATGTTTTCAATATGGACAAGAAAAACACAATGATTTGTGTTATTAGTTCAACTAGATTGTGTTTGTTCATTATTGTAACTTAGATGAAGATCTGATCATATTTTAGAACAAATTTTGACACGAATGTTGGTTACTCTGAAGGGTTCACTGCCTCTTTCTCGCCACTGTTTGTCTTCAGTTTAGAGTATAGAGTATTCTTTACCTGTTTGTCTGATGACTGTGATGAATATGTGATGCACTGTAACATCAGACTGGTTCTGCTGCTAAAGCGAAGAGGAGAGTGGAGGATAAAAGTAGCTCCTGCTTTGACCTACTTTTATTAATGCAGCATTTCAGTCAGATGAACTACACCTGACTGAAATGTTGCATTTATAATCACAGGAGCTCATTAACATGCTGTGGATCATTTTTCTCATGAAAGACATAAAAGGGTTGAGTTTTTATTCCCAGTTATAATCATGTGTTCTTCTGACCTGCAGAACTACTGCATTTCTCTGTTTGAAAACCAGAGTGAGAGAGTCATTTAACTGATGTATAAAAATATCTCTGGCTCTTTTTTACTTGTCACTTTATTGTAAACTCTGTGTTTTTGTCCCCGTCAGGTTCCTGTACCATCTATGACTCAGCGTTTTCAGTGAACTGATTGGTCTGTGGTCAGACTGATCTGATCGTCTCAAATTAACATTTAAGCACAGGTTACCATGGTGATCTACCCCAGTTAAAAGTAAGCCAGCTTGAGTTTCCTCGGTGGCTCACCTGGGGCTGGTTTCACAAAGATATTTCAGACTGGTCCGTATTGTTGGTCCAGATCAGTCTAATGTTAGTCAGACTGTTTCACAAAATTAAAGACTAACTCATTTTAAGCCAAAAACAAAGACACCTTACCCCCAGGATGACTCAGGCCTAAGGCCATTATCACTATTTTACCACAGAGCAATGAGAAGGGAAAGAGCTTTTACCTTTGCTGCTTGTCATCCCCTCTCTCTCTCTCTCTCACTGTCCCTATTGTAATAAAGGCAAAAATAACTTAAAAGGGAGCCAGCTTCACGACACAAGAAACCCTGAGTCAAGCCCGTAGATAGCTGGATGGTTCAGGCCTGTGTGACTTTTCTCAGTTTTGTGCAAAACACCTTGTTTGTGTTTGGATCATCGAGCTGACATATGGTGTCTTTCCCCACCACAGAAAGCCTTGTTAGAGGTGCTGTACGATATCTTCCAGCTCGCCATTCCTGTAGTGACCGCAGACTTCAGTGAAGCTCTTACTAGTGTAGGTGGGTGCAGTGACATCACTGTGATCAGCTGCTGTCTTCCGGACTTGTTTGAAGTCACATCAGAAACTGAACTGAAACCGTTTCCTGTTCAGACCCCAGCAGGTTTCAGGACAGCTGGCGGTTCTCTGATGGATTTGTGGCCTCTGAGGCTAAAACGATCCTCCCACATCGATCACGCTCGAGGTGAACACAGTGTATATCTCTCATCATGTGAGCTAAAGCATAAGGATTTAAACTGGTCTTTGTTTTAATCTGGGTCTGGTTCTCCTCCAGACTGGACCTGATGGACAACTACCTGGCTCTGGTGCTGTCTGCCTTCATCAAGAGTGGACTGTTAGAGGTACAGTCATTCATCACAGAGGATTTACCATCCTGTCAGTGTCTGTATCTCACTGTGTCTCACCTCCGCAGGGTCTTGTCGAGGTGATCACAAGCAGCGATGATGCCACGTCCATTCGTGCCACCATCCTGGTGGGAGAAGTCCTCCATCTGGTACGGTCCTCCTCTGCTCCTGTGTGCTGATCAGACCAGGAGACTCCTCAGACTCCTTCAGTGTGTAAATGTGATTTTCTCACACAGGCCAACACCATCCTCCCTCAGAGCCACAGCCACCACCTGCACTGCCTACCCACCCTCCTCAACATGGCCACCTCCTTCGATATAGCTCCTGAGAAGAGACTGTGAGTACCTCAGGTTTGATGGAGAGAGAGTCGGTGAATTTTAAGGTAAACACAAGAAACTTGTGCTACAGAAAATGGACCAGACTCAGTGAATAGCTCCCTAAGCTTAACATCCTAAATCCTATGATAAGAATTAATTTAGCTATACAGACTAATGAGCAGTGATAACTAACATGTCTTTGGGGTCATCAGGTGGGAACCTCCTTTCACCAGTGTTTCGTCTAGTTGGTCCCACGACACCTCCAGGAGGCTGGACAGTGATCACTGGCATCCCAGAGTCACTCCCCTAATGCCAGCCATCACTGGTCCTCACACCCTGACTATTTTCTCCTGTATTTTGCCTATGCTACCACAAACAACACTATCATCAAATAGGACAAAACACACTAGCAGATTCAGCAAACAAAAACTCCCCTAAACAGTTCTGTTCTGTTGTGTAGGACTAGATGTTTTTTTTTTTTTCCAGAAAGTGGTGGCCAGTTTGAATGAGGGAGGTAGAGTCAGGGAGAGATGCCTTGTTAGGCTAAACACTCCCGTGCCGGATTAGGCTGTGCTCTACCTCCCCTTACTCCCCCACTCTCCAAGACAATACAACTCACCATACAACTCACCTAAGACAAGCAAACTCACCTAAACAGTCAAAGACACACTACAAACCAATTAAAAGCAATACATGGACTAACCGCATGGTCTCAAAGAGGCTCACACAGGCCACACCCCCCAATTACAAACACTTCCTCTTCCTGGATTTCTTCCTTGCTTCTCCTAAGAGTCTGTCTATCCTAAGTGCTCCCCCTGCTGGGCCCCCAGCTACCATTATTTCTTCTCATCCAAATCCACTGACTGGATCTTGCTGCCTCATCTGGACATGGTACCTTACTAATTTTCCTCACACTTGTCCACTTCCTTCCTAACCGTCCTCACCAAAGAGACAACAGACCTTGCTACAAAATCTCTACTATACCTACTTTCATGGACAAAAATCCTACTTTCCATCCTCGCGCTCTCTTCTTCTAGCCCTAACTCTACATACCTGAGCTTTTTCCTTTCATATGCTTGCTTCAACATGAAGCCTCACGGAACAGTCAGCTCTATGAAATATACTCCATTCTCTCTAGACCACAAGACTATGTCAGCGCTGTTAGCTTCTGTACTAGCTATTTCCTGGGGAACAACAAGCTTTCTCCTAAATTCTACCTGCATTTCCCAATCACAAGCATCCTCTAAGCTGCCTTGCCTCCTTGTTGTCTTACCAAACTTTCTCTCCTCATTGAACAAACTTGATTCAACTCTCTTATTTTAGACCCTCCTAAATTTGCCTGCCTCCAAATCTTCAATTCCTGCAGACTAAGCTTTTTAAACCTGGGTTATGTCGCCACGATAACCGCCTTGCGACAGACTAAACCTTACAGAGCTGACAAAATATGCTTATAAGTTGCACATACCTGAACTCAAATGAACATAGCGGGTCTCCATTTACCCAGAGTTTTAGTTTGGGGAGTTGCAATACATCATAAGTTGCCTTATCAAAAATCTAATACTACTTTCCTCCATACTCCACAGCTTCTTTCTAGCTAAGCTTTTTCTTGTCTTACACCTTCCCAATTCAACCACTGTCCTGCTAGCCTGAGCCACTGCCTTTGCACCCTTAATATCCTCCTCCTGTCTACGAACGCCACACTAGTTTCTCTTCTCTTTGGGACCTACTTCTGCTCCACACGGTTTGCCTGGGCCAAGCACAAGCCTCACCGGCCTATTGGACATTACCCACAATCTCTGTATGCCTGAGGTTGCTTCCCTCCTGCACTGCCATTCTTTGGATTCCACTTTCTCCCTTGATTGGGGTTTGGAACCACACTTACTAACTACCACATCCTCTTGACTCCCAGATAACAGGAGCTCTGTCCTAATCTTAGTACATTTAAACTCCTCCACTAGACTAGTTACTGGGAGCTGAAGTATGCCTTTCCCATACAGTGCCACCATACTTAAACATCTAGGAACACCTAGCCACTTCCTAATGTAAAAGCTAACTAATCTTTCCATTTTTTCTGCAGCAGATAATGGGATGTCATATACAGACAGTGGACACATCAACCTGGGAAATAACCCGAACTGCAGACACCACAACTTCAACTTTCCTGGAAGCCCTGATTTATCTATTCTATCCAGTCCCTCAGCAACATCTTTCCGAAACTGCACTACCTGTTCTCCGTCATTCAAGTCTGCCTTGTACCACCTACCTAAACTCTTTACTGATTTTTCCCTAATTATTGGAATTTCCTCTTTGTCTATTACAAACTTCCTATCACTTAACTTCCCTCTACTTATTGAGATACTTCTAGACTTACTAGAAGTATGAGTACCTCAGGTTTGATGGAGAGAGAGTCGGTGATGAAAAGTGATGTCTGATGTCACCTGTTTTTTTCAGGAGGGCGAGTGCTGCAGTCAACTACCTGAAGTGCTTTCATGAGAAGAAGAAGAGAGGAGTCCGACCTCACAGTCTCTACCTGGACCACATCCTCCGCACGTCAGGAGCGCTGCACTACTGTCGAGACCAGACCTACAGACCTCACAGAGACGCGTTCATCGTCAAGGTGCACACCTGATGTCACACACACCTCACATTACACACACCTCACGTCAGACACCTCACGTCACACACACCTCACGTCACACACACCTCACGTCACACACGCCTCACGTCACACACACCTCATGTCAGACACCTCATGTCACACACACCTCACGTCACACACACCTCACGTCAGACACCTCACGTCACACACACCTCACGTCACACACGCCTCACGTCACACACGCCTCACGTCACACACACCTCACGTTACACACACCTCACGTTACACACGCCTCACGTTAGATTTGACACCTAGATTATTCATATGAGAAAACAGTGGATGAACTTATTGCAAAAAATAACATTTCATTGCCAGAAATGGCGACCATCTTGGATTTTCAAGTATTTTTATTTAAGAGTTTTCTAAGATACCCAAGGAGGATTTATGCCAAGCTTAGCATTTGTATCCACATTTGAAAGATTTCCCTGAAATATGCAGTTATCATGACCATGACATAATGATCATGATTTACCTACAAACCAACTAAACAACATTCATGTTTAAATAATGAAGATTGCATCTAAAAATCATTAGAAAATAAATACTAATGATAATAATAATAGTAATGATAATATTGACTATATATAACAACAAATCTTTCCCGCTGTGTAACATCAGTGTGTGTGTGTGTTTGTCATGTAGGACACTGAGGACTCTCTGATGGCCAACATGAGAGACAGTCACATCCTCAACCACAAGGAGAACCTGGACTGGAACTGGTGCCTTATTGGAACCATTTTAAAGGTGAAACAGAGATACTCATGTAGCGCTGAGCTCTGTATATGATTCCTGTTTCCATCAGACACTGATGCATTTTACTGTTATAAGTCAGAGTGGATGATCGTCTCCTGCCACAACTGTCCATATAGTATTGCTATTGATTGTAAGAAGCTGTTCATGATGGTAATGCTGTTATATTCTTGTCTCTAGTGGCCAAACGTTAGTCTACGCAGCAATAAGGATGAACAGATCCATAAGTAAGTATTTCTGCTGTCGCATTTGATTTTCATAAACCTGCTTAGTATGTTAAACTGGGTGTGTGTACAGGTTTGTGCGGAGGCTGCTCTTCTTCTTCAAGCCCAGCAGTAAGCTGTACGGCAGCCTGGAGCTGGAGCATCCCAAAGCCAGACAGCTGACTGTGGTCGGCTGTCAGTTCATAGAGTTCCTGCTGGCGTCGGAGGAGGTGAGAGAAAACAGCGGTATAATGTCTTCGGGGGCATGTCTCTTACTGCAGACATTCATGGTCCCCAGATGATGAATCCCATTGACTTTGAGGATCCTCTGACTTTTCATCTAGTGCCAACACAAGTTTGACATTTTTCTTTTTAGTGTCCCGTCTTGACTACTCCTGTATAGATTGCCATGACATCTGATGCATGATTCATGATCCCGGAGGATGAATCTGAATGATTTTCAACGTTTTCATTTATCAGTGAAATATGTATTGTTTTTTGTACTGACATTCATAGTCCCCATGAGTGGGCCTTTTCCTGCAGTGCCCCCATCAGGTTTTGTGTGAAATTATTGGATGAATTTCCATAAAATCCAGTATACACAGTCATGTCACCCTCACTGAATTAGAATAATTTTGGTTTTTCCATCTAACATCATCAGGTCAACATTTGATTTAGTCCAAAACTTTGATTTAAGACCCAAAACATCAGGCTCAGCTGTACTTTGTGTTTAGTGATGATAATCAAATAAACTAAGTAGTTGAACAATGTCAACACTATCAACGCTGAACATCAGCATGGACTCGGCTGTGGACTTTTGTTTGACTTATTTTATTTCTATTTTTTATTAATAGCTTATTTGACTTGGACAATGTTCACTAATGAGCATTAAAAAGTCCCTGCAATAACATTTTTTTTTACTTGGTGGAACTTGATACAAGGTGTGAACACAACATTGACGAGGTTATGCTTTCAAAAAAAATTGTTCATACAATTTTTTGTTCAACATCGCCAGAAGGGAAAAGAGTCTATGGTTGTTCCATATGGCTGCACTCAATGCCACACTGTTACAGTTGTCATCTTGTAACCTGCACCTGTCTCCTAATCCACTGGTCTTTGTCTGTTAGGATGGCCAGGCGTACTTAGAAGACCTGGTAAAGGACATTGTCCAGTGGCTGTTTTCCTCTCCTGGGCTCAAACCTGACCGCAGTCTGCAGGGCAATGGGCTGCTAACCACTCTCAGCCAACACTACTTCCTCTTCCTGGGCACCCTATCAGCCTACCCGCACGGTGTCAAGATGCTAGAGAAGTGCAGCGTCTTCCAGTGGTGAGGAGCTATTGTAGAATCTGACGCCTTTACTCTGAGAGTAGCACCTTCTATTGCAATTGTAGCGTAATATAATTGTGACTGGCCAGGGTGCAAATACTTCTTGCTGTGCATTTTTCAACATATGACAGGTAACAATGACATTGCTATGGATTTAAATCCCTGATCCCGATCCATAAACAGAAACCTGTACTCACCCATTAGAAGTTCATCCTCCAGGCCCCACGCTCAGCAGAGTCATTACCAACACTGCTCAAGTCCAAACTCCTGACTCTGTTGTTCTCTATTGAGAATATAGCCAATCCAGCTAATGCTAGCCTCCAGCTGCACGTCAACATTAGCTAGCATTCAACGAACTTCAGCTTTTTCGTAGGTAGTGTAATCTTTATTATAGAGAATGATAAGAAATAAGAATATAAGAAAACCATATTCTGTTTAGAAAAATAATAATTGCAATAAAAACATACAAATATTACAATACAGAGAGAGAGAAAATTATATTAAAAATGTAAAAGAAATACACATTATAAGAGTATTAAAAAAACTGAAAGTTAATTCATTAACACAGAGGCTAAATACACAAGGGAGTCAAAGGTAATAGGGAACAGGTGAAACTGATTGGGGCGGGGCAGGTAATCACATGAGGACAGGAAGTAAAACAACCAAATACACAACAGGGAAGTGGTTAAAAAAAAACAAAAAAACAGGAAGCACAGTTTAGGATGAGCATGTTAGCACTGTCGTTGTTAGCATGCCAACATTAGTGTTTAGCTCAAAGCTAAATATGAATGCTGTGACTGAAAATACAGCATTCACCTTTCCTGTGGTTCTGTCTTCAATCGGCTGCTTGTTTCCCTGTTGCTCTGTCAGTCTGTTGAACCTGTGCAGTCTGAAGAACCAGGAGCACCTGCTGAAGCTGACCGTCTCCACGCTGGATTACAGTCGAGACGGTTTGGCTCGAGTCATTCTGTCCAAAATCCTCACGGCCGCCACTGATGTAAGAGTCAACACAGCTCTCTCTGACCACATCAGCCGTCCATGTAACTAGAGGTGCACTGACAGTTGGTGTAGCCTATGAATCAATATTATGAATCAATGTAAAACATAATAAAAGTGTAAAAAAAATAGTAAAAAACGTCTCCGGGCACATAAAAATACTGAAGTACTGCAAACTTAATATCCATACCATATACTGCTGCGCAGGCTAAATGCCAGACCTTTTATTAGACCTAAACCAACTCACTGAGGGAACAGAGTCCACTTAGTTGATATGTTATATTTGAGTTTGACCAAAATAAATAAATGAAGCTTCTAGGCTCTATGCTACATACACTAGATAATGAATAATAAGTAGTCTGATAATTATGTGTGGTCTGATGTCCAAGCGTTAGCACGCTGAGCTCGACCCAAGTGGTTTGTAGACTAAATAGTATTTTCTGCGTGATCACGGTGTGCAGACCTTTCTTGACTTCATGCACTTAATCATCTTGGTGCCTGCATAACTGTCCAGGTCGCTCCAGCAGAGATGATTTCTGAAGATACTGAGAGTCTGAATAATCTATATAACATTCTGTTTTGTCTGGGTTGAACGTAGACCTGCAGGCTGTATGCCACCAAGCACCTGCGGGTCCTCCTGCGTGCCAGTGTGGAGTTCTTCAGTAACTGGGGCATTGAACTTCTGGTGACTCAGCTTCATGACCGCAACAAGACCATCTCCATGGAGGCACTGGACATCCTGGATGAAGCCTGTGAAGACAAGGTGAGGAAGCAAACACACAAAATGCATGAAGCTTTCCTTCTGGGTTTTAAATCACTTGATCATCGTTCTTCCTCCATGTTATTCCTCAGGCCATCCTTCATGCACTGACAGAGATGAAACCTGCCGTCACACACCTGGGGGATAAAGGTGTGCTACTGCTGCTAAGGTAAAGCATCTACCCATCTGTGGCTACACTCCCATTCAGAATGGATGTGTCTCTACGACAGGTGGGGTGATGTTATTCTCGTCCTGAACATGAATGTGGGTAATTTTTCACCTGCACCTCGTTAAAATTTACAGCTGTAATGACCTACTGTTTGTCAGTGACCCGGCTGGTTCTCCTGCTGGAGCAGGCAGCGACCTCCAGCGACAGTCAGGGCAGGAGGGCATCCTGTTCAAATTGAACCTAAGGATGAATTGTTAGATTTTGGTGGTAAAAGCTCAAAGGTCAAAGCTGAAGGTCGTGAACTTCACTGTGACATCATAACGTTCTGCAAAAACACTTCCGGCCATTATTCAATGCTGTAACTCCTGATACTTGGCTGGTTGGTGGAAGAAACAATCACGAGGAGGTGATTCTAGTTTCTAGTTCCTTCTTGTCGACCCTGTCTCTCAAATCTTTTCTCTTTAAATCCTCCTTATGTGTTTTTCACATTGCCTTGTGTTTGTATTACTTGTTGGCTTAATGGCTTTGTATGTTTTATGTGTAGACCTTTGAACTTTTGTTGTCGCTTACATGAAATGACCTTGTTTGTGTTGTCACCAGGTTTTTATCTATTCCAAAGGGCTTCTCCTACCTTAGTGACAGAGGATACATCACTAAACAGATGGAGAAATGGCAGAAGGTACATTTCATCCAGTACGACTCTGGTTTTTGCTTCTGACATTAATGAAACGTTCATGGCTGCTCCGTGCTCCTGTGTGTCCCCACAGGAGTATAACTTGAAGTACGTGGACATGATAGAGGAGCAGCTGAATGAGGCCCTGACCACATACCGCAAGCCTGTTAACGGAGACAACTATGTACGCCGCAGCAACCAAAGGTGACTCGCCCAGCGCTGTTTACTGTATGTATGGAGTTGTTCTAATGCTGTAGCAGCTTCTACTCCTGGTGTTTCACCATGATAACAGCCATTATTACAGGTCTTCTGTTTTTCCTTCCGCATCACACTAATGCGCAAGCATCACAGTCATCACAGTTTGCAACCCTGTTCACTGACGTTTTTCCCATTGATCTGGAAGATCTTTGGAACTTTAAAAGTCACCTAGATCATTTGATACAAAGTTTGAATCAACTTGGCCGGCTCAGCATTTTTACACCTCTGAGACGCAGATGTGTTTTTCAGTTGTCCATCTGTCCATCCCGTTCATGTGAACTTCTGCAGATTTGACACCAACATTCACTTGGACTCAAGGATGAACTGATTTGATTTTGGTGGTCAAAGGTCAAAGTTCAAGGTCACTGTGACATCATAATGTTCTGCACAAACACTTCTGGCCATTATTCAATGCTGTAACAACCACAAGGGAGTAATTCTACCACAGAGCATGAATGGGAGTTAATTGCTTGATTGCATCCTGCAGTACATCTGTGTGGATGTATGTTTCCCCACTCATGTATTCAGGTTCATCTATATAAAGAATTGTTGTAACTTTATTGGAACTTCTTACCTCTTTACTCGTGTGTTCTATGGCAGGTCACAAAGGCCAAATGTTTACCTTCCTGTGCACTTGTATGGTCAACTGGTCCATGAAAAGACCGGCTGTCAGCTGCTTGAAGCCCAGGTGAGTTCATCTGACTCACCAGGTTAGTCGTTCACTCATCTACACTGCTTGCAGCAGGATTGTGAATCCAGACGACTCAAACCTTGTTTTATACTGGGCTTCTTATCTGAACCATATTGCTTCACTGGATGACACATACAAAACACCCCCTCCACACCCACACACACTTACAAAGTAAGTAAACAAGGAAGTGAATATAATAAAATAGATACAAAAAGTAACATATATTTTACACTATTAAAAAAAAGGATTAACTTAAGTTCAAGAGAGACTATCCTAGTTGTCAGGGTCCATCAGAGACCGTACCGTTATGAGTAAGGGTTCTCATGGAAATCTAGCTCCTCTGCCACATATCTCAGAAAAGAGTTGACGGAATTTACCAGCTGAAATTACCTAGCCTCATTTAATATGAGATATTCTATTCCACTGTGTATGATTTGGAGGAATTACATCCTTCCATAGAATTAGGTGATGGGTGTTTTCTGTATGAACTATGAGAAAGTGGTTGTTAAATGGTAAATGGACTTGCACTTATATAGCGCCTTTATAGTCTTACTGACCACTCAAAGTGCTTTACAATATTTGCCACATTCACCCATTCACTCACATTCATACATTACACTGATGGAACAGCCATCAGGGGCAATGTGGGGTTCAGTATCTTGCCCAAGAATACTTCAACCCGCTCTACCTCCTGAGCCAAAGCCGCCCCAGGAGCATGTTGAACATGAATGTGCCCTGATGTACTTATTTCTGTCAAACTTAATTTTTGACCCAAATGCAGACACACATGAAGGCAGACAGGTGCAGTGAAGGTACTTTACTAATCTTAACAAAAGTCAAAACCTACAAGCAGGCAGGATGATCAATCCAACAAGGACTGAGGGAAACACAAAGACTGAAGGGTAACAGGACACAGGTGCAACACATTAGGCTGCAGCAGGTAACCAAATACCATCTGCCTCTTTACTTTCAAACGGTCCAATAGCTACATGTCTAAAAAATATGAATACTTCTAATCTAATTAATAATGATTTCTGAAATGATTTAAGTGAAACTGATCTTATTTTTATGAAATGTTAGTTCATCATTATTATTGTTAGAGATCTATGGGTGTACATTTTTATTTCTAAATGCCCAAAAGGCTATGACTTCATGTCACTTTTCCTGTTGTCACCGTCCCCTGCCTCTAAAGCTAGCAAGCTCAACAACTGCTACCAGATTTAGCCAGTTAGCTCCTGTTAGCCACAGCAACAACAATGTCAAAGTAGTTGTGAATCAATCAGTTAGCACAGAAACTAACACCTCCTTTTATTCATTCACATTTAGGCTGTGTATGCTTCTAACTAACTACCTAGCTGGCTAACTAGTTAGGTGTGGGTTTGGAGCTTGGTTTAGACACAGTGTTAACTGTAGCAGCTAAGTTAGCTGGTTAATTCAGAGTTAACTCAGCGGTGTTTTGATTCCACAGATGTTCTTCAGAGAAAGACACAACTCTGCAAAGAGTGAAAACACTGCCATCCTGTGTGGTAACCCAAGCTAACAGGCGCTGGCTAACACTGCTAACACCGTCTCTTCACTTTGTTTCTTAGTAATAAACCAGGCTCATTTATATATTTTAGGAGGATGTGGTGTCAGTTCTTCTTTCTTCTTCTTCCCTCAGAACGTGGTTCCTGATTTAAGCTTCAGTGTTCGATCTCCAGTCCTGGACAAGTGGGAGGGAATCAAACAACTGAAGGCAGCACTTTGGGCTTTGGTTAGTATTTCCAATTCTGTTATTATCTAAAGAAAATATGCTATTTTAATTGAAGGAAATCAACGGCTGGTTTTTACGTATTGTCTTTTCTTACAGGGAAACATAGGCTCATCAAACTGGGGTCTGAACCTGCTGCTGGAGGAGAGGGTGATCCCTGACATCGTGGCTCTGGCCCACCACTGTGAGGTTCTGTCCATTCGAGGGTAGGACTCAGCTCACTGGACAAAAACAAAGATGCTTCTCCAAACCTCATTCATTTGCTGCAGCTAGAGTGGGGTCAATATAGTATATACAGTATAGTAATACGTCAAACAAATATCATGCTAAACAGAAAAATAAAGCCACTTACTTGATGAAAAATAATGCTAGGTAATGAGTGGCTGAGTGTAATGTAAGCCAGGGTGACGTCACACAGAAGCAGGATCAATATGTTTGTGTGTCAGGTGCTGTGTACGTTTTATGCACAGCATCTCTCTTCATTCATTATTCAAATATCCTGACATGGCAACAGCATTAGTCAGTAATTAATGCAGCAGACAGGTAAATGTACACACAGGTTCCTCAGCATGAGTCCTGACCTCCATTAGAGCTGTGTAGACTTTGTTCTACTACAATGTCTCCCACATAAACAGGCAGAATACTGAGTTATAACTTAACAGTCTGATGTGTGTGGAGGTCCGTGTACTATATATTGAGAACTGCTTTCACACCTGCACTGCAACCCTGAACTTTCAACAGACTTCACTGTGCCAGCTCCTGACTACAAAGTACTATCTCCTGTTGTGTGCTACATGTGTGAAGGGGGAATTGTCTGGAGTTCATGGCTCTACAGTTTGTGTCCTGCTACCTACAGATGGCTGCAGTGTTTTAATGAACTGAAGAAGCTTTTCATACAGTATGAAGCAGCTGTTGACAACAGATCAGATTCATTTATAGATAAACACAGACTGATTTAACCACATTAAATGTTACTTTTTGATGCTGATATAAATGTATCTGCTTGTTGGAAAAAGTAAAACAGTTTACTTCTATTTTTATTTCAATAATTGCTGAGGATTTCAGGAAAATAAACTTTCATAACCCTGCTGGTGCTCACTGTTGCACCACCACAACAATCAGGCGCATAAACTGATGAATATCGAAAATTAGAATCTTCAGCTCTGTGGTTAAAATCAAATTTCATTAAGGTATATTTCAGAAAAGTAATGACATTAAAATCAGAGGAAATCCTTCAGCTGTAGTTGTGATGTAATGAGATGCCACTTCTGTGGTTTCTGTGCAGGACGTGTCTGTACGTGCTGGGTCTCATCAGTAAGACGAGGCAGGGCTGCGACACTTTGAAGCAGCAGGGCTGGGACGCTGTGAGGCACAGCCGTGGTACACTGTGGCCTGTGGTGCTGGAGGAGCTGGAGCCGCAGTCCAAACCCCACAACCTGCTGTCCTCTGTCCCCGGTGTCTTCAGGCTGAATGAGTCCACCGGCTCCGGGCTCAACAACGAGACAACCAGCTTACAACCCAGTGAGTCCAAACCCTCCAGTGAAGTCAAACAGTGATTTGATTGCTTTGATAACTGCCTCTGTGCTGTTTACAGGTGTGTATAATCTGGATGATGAGAAGCTGGTAGAAGGCTGTGACTTCTCAGAAGAGTTGTCATTGTACATGTGCCCTAAACTGATGAAGGACCGAGGTCCTTTCAACATGCTGGCATCTAGCCGCTTCCGCAACCGCCTTCTCCACTCACTGTCTCTACCCGGGAAGAAGTCTCGCACCAGCCCGTACCCTAAAGGCAGCAGCCAAGGAGGAGGAGGAGGGCTGGATGGAAAGCAGGGGCTGAAACCTTCCAGCTTATCATTTGCAGCAGCAGATTTTCTCCCTATTTACAACACCAGTCCCTCAGGTGAGAGGGAGAATAAAGCCACAGAGAATGGTGGGAGCACACCCAGCATCGGGGAGGGGGAACTGGACGCGTCAGGGGTCCGTACAGGTGAGAACCGGCAGAGCAGCTATGAGCGTCTGGCTGAGGATGGGCCTTCAGGAGGCGGTGGAGCCCAGTTCAAAAGCCGCAGCCAGAGCTTTAACACAGACACCACCACCAGTGGCATCAGCTCCATGAGCTCCAGCCCCTCCAGGGAGACCCTGCCCCCCACCACAGACCCAGACTGTGTCAGCCTCAACACTGTGATAAGTGCCCAGACCGTCCAGAACACGCACTCTCTGACACCCCAGCCCTGCTCCACACCGCTCTCCATTCCCAAGTCCCTCTCTGCCTCTCTCATACCTCCAGGCTCCTCCCACACCTTGCCCCGCCGAGCCCAGTCCCTCAGGTCTCCCTCAGCCACCGCCCTGAGCAGCTTAGCCGACTGCAGCCTCATGTGCTCCGGCTCCAGAGAGGCGCTGGGATATGCCACCCACAACGGCTGCACAAGTCCTCGGGACGCACTGGGCTACGCCACGCTCAGGAGGCTGCAGCACCAACGCATTCAGCCCTCCCTGTCCCACAGTGAAGCCCTGGCCTCCCCAGCCAAAGACATATTCTTCACTGATGCCATCACCATGAACACAAACAGCCCGGATTCCAGACTCACTTCTCGAAGGTATTTACCAGCTGATACTAATTTCATTTACACAACCTGAGCGAACACAAAATTTACACCTAATTTAAAGACAATATTGTATTTACCAATATGTTGTATAAAGTCTCTCAAGGAAACAATATGAATAGGTTTAATGCAGATTTTTAGTACATGTAATTGATCCTGTGACCTGGTTCAGATTTCTGAAAGCTCTGAGCTTTGCGTCTCTGGATAAGGAAGACCTGCTGAGCCCAATCAACCAGACCACGCTGCAGCGCTCCTCCTCTCTGCGCTCCATCGTGTCCACTGCCACCTGTGGCTCCTCTGTTGACTACATAGGCCTCGCCTTGCCTGTCAACATCAGCAACATGTTCCAGGTATGGCTGATAATCTGTAAGAGTGCATTTCGTTGGTTCTCGTCTGAGATTTCCTGAACTAAGGGATTTTTTTCTTGGATTCCTTCAGATTAAAGAAACAGTTTATTTCCAAAAGAAGACGAGTCCACCGTCTGAGGACCACTCTGCTAAAGTCTCCTCTGGAGACTCTGATGGTGAGAATTACCACCTGCACTCAGCACTGTCAGATTTACACTCAACTTGACCATTTTCTTTCTGTCTAAATGTTGCTGTGATTTCAGCATGTTACACAATGCAGTACAGCTGTATGACGGATGGTCAGGTAGTGGCCATTCATAGGATATGTATGAAACAGATTTAGCTCTTCCCATTAAGCTTTCTTGAATTGCACCTAGAAGGAATCTTGATTCTCAGTTCAGGTAAGACTGGACCTGCAAAACAGTTCAGGTGGGTGTGCAGTCCAAGCCGCCTACATCCAACAGCCAGCCAAAGTTCTTTGGACTTAGTAAGAGCAAACACATAAAATGCCCAAATCCCCTACTGTTCCAGGTTGTTCGGGACTATTATTGCTGGCGGATGGGCGGACTATTTTTTTTAAGCACTCTCAGCTGCTTATATCATTTTGACAGAGAAAGTTTCTGAAGCAGTTTGACAAGTAAATGAAACGTTGTTGGCAGATACCAGATTAATGTCTCTGTGATTGTCACAAATGAGCAATGTTTTTCAATGTATCTATATTTTCACATTTATGTACTTTTGTCACACTTTTTCATTTTCATATTTGTTGTTATAGTAATATTGTAGATGGACCGCTGCTCACTTCCACTGTGGCTTAACGTCTGTATTTGCGTTGTGGCTTTTGCATCTGTGTTAACGCTTAATTTGCATTTGTGTTGTTGCGTTAGCATTTTTGCTGTGGCCTTTGTACTCGTGTTGTAGCTTTTGTATTTGTGTTGTGGCTTTTACATTCATGTTTTGGCTTCTGCGTTGTGTTGACCTGTCTGGGTCTCTATACAGCAGCAGTAAATAATCACGAGAGTCACGGTATAAAATAATGATGATGATAGTGATGATACATTTTATGACAAAGTTCTTGCAATCAATTTGTCATAATTTCATAATTAATTAAGCACATAAGAGATGATTTCGTAGATGAGTATAGACTGCACTTATATATGTATATACATGTTGTTTAGGTTCATGGACGTGGGTCGATGTGGGTTTTTTAACATATTTCAGTTCATTATCTGTCATATGAAATTCTCTCAGCTGTTTATATCTACAAAAGTCCTTATCAAATGACTTGAGTTGACCACTAAATATTTGATGTACTGTCCATGTTCAGACGGCTCTTTAAAGCCTTTTTCTGTTCGAGATGGCACTTTAGACCGCCTCAGCATCTTTTTAGCGTCTGCTGCGTGTGTGCTCAGGCCCCAATGATGGGCGTGGGCCAGCGAGGCTTCGCTCTCAGCTCAGCATCACCGAGCTGATGGCGGTGAGCCGCGAGGAACAACAGCTGATGCTGGGCTCAGAGGAGACGGGTCTGCAGGAGCACAGTGACACCAACTGCCTGTACTGTGCTGGACTGTCCACGCTCGGCTTCAACTCTCAACATGGCAACTCAGGTGATGTCCTGTTTCTGGTTAAATGAAACACACAACAGATGTTAGACACTACAGTATCTGAATAAACTGCAGTCAATGTGGTTTTGTTATGATCTAGTGGAACTCCTTTCACCCTCTTCTTCAGATCTAACAGAGGTGAGCCCGTTATCTGAGTGGTGCAGTCCAGCTCCAGCAAACAATCTGGAGGTCATGGTCCAAGCCAAGCTGTCAGGGGTGTCTGGATTCAGTGACACTGTGTCCCAGGGATCTGGGGGGAGTGGTCACAGCACAGAACTTGTTTTGGGTACGTGCTTGTAAATTATGTGATAGTAGATAATGCTGTCCATCCTGTCTGTCCTCAGAATCAGCAGCTGTCAGGATGTACTCTGCAGCCAGCATCATGTCTTGCATTTGTGTGCAAAAGAAAACACAGTGATGCTGTTTGAGCAAAATAAGAAAAAAACACTGGATTTCCAGGATAAAGGCCGCCAGACAGCATAAGCACTGGTGTCAATTGTTTATGAGTGCACCTGTATATGTACAGATAACATGCAGCCTCTGTAATGGACACTGTGCCGCTCATTTCCATGGAGCCTATTTCTTTGTGGGTTTTATTGTGACGTGAAGAATTATTGTAGTTATTTTGTGCTTCATTCATTTTGGTAGTTATGTTTAGTCAGCTCCTCTAAACTTTTACGTAAGGTGAAAGTGCAGTCATGTCAGATTGACTAGGTAGAAAACTGTATACACTATATATATATATATATATATATATAATTATATATATATATATATAGTCAGTAGTCAGTATTCAGACCCCTTCACTTTTGGCACTTTATAGTGTAGTAGATTTAATTTAATTTAATTTTAAATGGATAAAATTACCATTGTTGCTCATTAATCTACTCTCAATAACCCATAAAGACAAAGTAAAAACATGTTTTTAGAAATTTTTGCAAATGTGTTAAAAATCGAAAACTGATCTCTCTCATTTGCAAAAGTATTCAGACTCTTTCCTGAAGCTCCAAACTGTGGTCTGCTGCTTCCTGTTAGCTTTAATTATCCTTGAGATGAGTCTGGAAGTTGATAGAGTCCACCTGTGGTACACTGAATGGATTGGACAGAGTTTAGAGAGACACACACCTGTGTATATCAGGTCCCACAGTTGACACTGCATGTCAGAACAAAAGCCATGAAGTCCAGTGAACTCTCTGTAGACCTCTGTCCACCATCAAACTGTCGCGAGACAGAGATCGGAGTTAAAGATATAAAACCATTTCTAAACCTCTGAGTGTTCCCAGGAGAATAGTGGGAACAATAACTGTGAAATGGAAGAAGTCTGGAACCAGGACTCTTCTCAGCAGCAGGGCNAGACCTCTGTCCACCATCAAACTGTCGCGAGACAGAGATCAGAGTTAAAGATATAAAACCAATTCTAAACCTCTGAGTGTTCCCAGGAGAATAGTTCCCAGGAGAAAAACAGATCCATAGTGCAATTTTCAGCACAACAATGACCCCTGATAACAACGCTGGAGTGTCGTCCAGCCAAAGTCCAGACTTAAACCCCACAGAACATCTGTGGAGAGACCTGAAGATGACGGTTCACAGAGCTGCAGAGGATCAGCAGGAAGGAAATAAACTGCCTGAATCCAGGTGTGAAGCTGCAACAGCTGCTGAAGGAGCTTCTACAAAGAACTGAATTAAGAGTCTAAGACAAATATGTTTCCACTCTGTCAGATTATTGTCTGTAGATTGATGGGCAATTGTATCCATTTAAATTACATGCAAAGAGTGAAGGGGTCTGAATACTTTCTAAATTTACTGTATGTTTATTTCATTCTTGAACCACAGCAGTATAATACATCCACAAGTGTTTGAACTAATTACTTTCATCTGACGTTATATAAAATGTTGAAATGATATTTCAACAGTGTTTTTTATTTGGTCAGCAGGTGGCGCTGTAATCTATACATATTTGTCAAAGAAGAGATGAGGTCTGGATTTAATTAGTCCACAATTTAAAGAAATTAACTGATTATTACAAACAAGTTTAGAATAAATGTTTTTGTTATTGGTGGATAAAGCTTGTCGTTATCAAATTGGTTCCGGCCCTGAAATTCCGTATCGATGCATCTCGTGTTTCAGATCATTGTTTCATATTCCTTTGTACCTCCGCAGGGGTGAAGTCCATCCCAGAGGACGCGCCGGCCGGCAGGGTCCTGCTGAGGAAGGAGGTGCTTCGTCTGGTCATCAACCTCAGCTCCTCTGTGGGGACCAAAAACCACGAGACCAGCCTGTTAACGTGAGGCTGAAGCTGTCCTCGAACCTCTCTGTACAGTGTTTACATCCAGCCTGTTCTGATCTGTTGGGTAAATGTTCTCTTGTAGGATCAAGGAGAAGTTCCCCTATGCATTCGATGACATCTGTCTATATTCAGAGGTGTCCTATCTGCTGGCTCACTGTATGTTCCGACTGCCCTCACGCCGCTTCATTCAGGAGCTCTTCCAAGACGTGCCCTTTATACCAGTAAGCACTTCTTATACTTTTCATCATGACCCCAATTAGTAGGAAGTAGTTATATTCATAAGTTACAACAGTTTGTACACAACCAGATTTAATTCAGCTGAAACCATGTGTCTGCATAAAGTGCATTTAAATAAACCAGTGGATGGTTTTTAAAGACAGACTACATTTAGTTGCATGGAGCCATTCAAACTCAACACGATCTGACTCTCACAAGACAAGAGGCTGGGCTACTGACTTTTCACTTTGGCTAAAAGCCCATCTGCAAGCAGCAAACCACTGTCTCATGCCTGTAACATGCTGATCACCTTAAACGGTTGTCCTTTGTAACTTAAGTTAATATGGGTTAAGAAGTAATGTCATTTACCATTGTTAATACAGATAGTGTAAGGACCCGTCACCTTTCCAGTGTTGGCCATTTTCTGTAATAGTCACACCCACTTCATGCTATGATTGGCCCGATGTGAGAGGAGCTAGACACTGAACTTCTTTTTCAGTCAGAGCTAAAATAAAGAACTTACTGCTAAGCTAACTAACTAGCATGTAAACAACTGCTGACTTATTTAAAGTCTCTTAAAGGAGCAGAGAGCTCTGGGCGCTGGAGCAGAACTAGTGTAAGTTTAAATGTACAGCAGGTAGTTAGACTGCGTGATGAAGAAAACAGCGACTTTAACTGTGTTCAGACAGAGCAGCAACAAACTCTACCAGTAACAGAAAGTGACTGAGACACCACACTGACGTCAGCAGGTGAACAGACACTAACTGTGTTACTGAAAAGACCTTTTACTGCAGTAGACGTAAAATCACTGTGTAAACATGTTCTCAGATAAAAGTACAATGGAAGCCAGTTAAAATGTCTCTGAGTAAACGTGTTACGTAGTTACATTTTAAAAGGGGAGGGGTAAAATATGTTTTATTATTATGATACAATTATGAAATCAAAGAGCATCTTTAGGCTGCCAGGTGAATCAGTTCACAGGTGAGGAGCACATAGAAAAGCAACCAATTAGTTCCAGTCAGGCTCTTTGCAGTGGAGCTGTATTACAACTTACTGAGGTGTTTCTGTTATTTAGCCTACTTTCACTGATTATAAAGGGGTGGACAAAATAATAGAGACACCTGGACGCCACAGCGAGAGTCTTTATGTAGTAGTAGTTTTGTGTTAACATTTCATTTATCAGTCTCCTTCATTACTAATAATCAGTATTGTATCAGCCCTGAAAAAAACATATCGGTCGACGCCTTCTAAAAAGCACTACAGTGATTTAGCTTTGCACTTCCTCAAAGTTCAGCATATATTTTTAACAGTATTGTGTTTTATATAGTTTGAATTTCCATTGTTATTTGTATGTGTTAAGTCAAAGTTTTACTCAAAGTTAGAGTAAGAGAATAATGAATGAATGACTGAAGCAGCAGTGTAGTGTGGTGAGAAGTGAGTGTAGTATGAACCACGACAAGTCAACTGACTTTCATGTGTAAAATTAGTGGAGTGCTCTTTTAAGTCAAACAATGATTTACTTTTTCTTTTAATTTCTAACTTCTACTTAATGTTCAGTGGGCTGCAGCTGTTTGAACTGACATTTCAGCAGCTGACACAAACCTCACTACATGAAATGTAGTCACACAGATTAACCACCATGACTTTTACACAACTGTAAACACGTGTGCTGATAACTGCCTGTCTCTTTCTCAGCTGTATGAAGAGGCAGAGAGCATCCTGTCCATGTCCCCACAGAAGGATTCAGCTCACCACTCTGACCCCTGACCCACCCTGAGGCCAACAACCCACTCCCCCCTCACCCCCCGTCCCCCCACCACCACCATCTCCTCCAGCTGCTCTCTCCTCACTGAGAGCAAGCAACAACATCACACAGTGACCCGGCGACGTCTGTTGATGCTGAGGTTGGTCCCCTCACTCTGTGCTGCTGGTTCTCAGTGTGAGTGTGTGTCTGCATCTCACTGCTGCTTTGAAAGAAAAGAAGCTGAGGACGATGAGTGATAAAACTAAACTTTTCCTGAGTGTGAGAGAGGACTTGTTTGTTGTGGATGTTGATCAGTCTGATGTTTGCACATAAACAGAGGATATGAAGCAGGTGGAGTGAAGTCAGGCAATCATCAGGTTTCCTCTTCTCTCTTCTTTATTTCTAACAAATCTTAATCTCACAAAGTCTGAGCTCAGCTAATTTCTTTTCAACAGGAATCGCAATTCTATTCCCAGAAGGTAACAGTTACTGAATGTACTTAAGTTTGGCTTTGCCTGATGAATATTTAATATTATGAACATTTTATTTATTAGCACAGCATAAACAGCATAATCAGTGCTCAAATGTATTTTGCTTTTCATTATTTTGTCACTACAAAGCATGGATTAATTAGCTTTTTCACGTGATGTTTGCACAAAGCTTGCTTCATCATATCAAAGTTGAAAATGGAAACGTTTCTATACCTACTGTTTAATATTAGCACGGTTGAGGTTTTATTCTAGAGTTTTGACACAGTTTTTATCCAGAATTGTTATAATCGTAACCTCGTGTCACTTTTTGTGTCACTGAATACAATAATGAGACTGAACTGTTTGGAATCTAATACAGAAATGATCTGATTTGAATGATTGAGGGATGTCTACAAATGTAAAATCAAAGGCAACTGGACTTCCTGTTTTGGATCAAGACTTTCTGCTTCTCAGTTAAGAGGCTGTATCAGTTCAACTGACTGGCGGAGAGTCCCATGTGTTAAACCATGCCCCAAAAGTCACCTGACACTGGACTCACCCGAGTCTCCTTTACTCACATCTTGTATGTGGATAACAGCTGGCTTAAAATCAAAATCTATGAGGAACGAGCCTTCAGAGATCAAACAGGAACATCAGGTTTACACAGGAGACACTAACACTGATCAGTACTTAGTTTTTGACCCCCACCAGCAACTAGAACACAGCATTACTAGTAAAAGCTGTAGCAAATCAGTAATGTGATTGTTTGTTCACAGTTTGTTCATGTTAATAATGACTCTTCTATGCACACAAAAGTTAGTCATGGAGTTCCACAAGGTTCTGCGTTTGACCCCCCCCCATTTATTTTTTTTTGGGTCATGGTTGACCTCAGATATGTTTTTAAACGACGGAGGGAGGAGCCTCTCAGCACTGACAGTTGATATAGGGATGGTGTAGAACAGCTTCAACAACTTGTGCACCTCTGGCAATAGAGCTCTTTCATCACAGGAGTTGCATTCAGTGCTGATGCTACTGATGATACTGTTACTTCACACCCTGAGGTGTGAATTGCATCTGGCAACATTTCAAGTTGTGTGCGTAGATTGTCAAAGTCAAAATCCCTCTCATAGAGTGCCACTATGGAAGATGGGAAACTGACAGTCAGTGTTTCTGCTGCAGATACAACCTGGCGCTCCAGGCCAGCTGCCACATGCAGGTCTCTCTGCTCAAAACGCCGCTCCAATTCGCCATCAAGCAGGTCCAGAACTTCAAAGTAAAATCTCCAGTAATGATCCGTTGGGCTCATGGTGTTTCTGTTGCCTGGGCAACATGGGGGCTTCTGTTAGATATATTTACGGTCTGTAAGGTCCTCGACAGCTGTTCAGTGGGAGAGAAACACATCAATGCTAGGTGCAGGCCAAATAACCTGTTGAATTTCTCAAGGACTGCCAAAATTCCCCCAGCTTTCCTTCTGAGATCACTGTATGATTATTTCAGTCATCAGAGAGGAAAGTACGGTGCAATTGTCAAGGACAGATTTCACCATCCATCGTGCTGGGTAGAGAGTATGCAGGTTATAACTGCCTGGGGCCATTTCATTTTTTAAGATTTGGAATTTTTTGGTATTGTTTAGGGGACTGCTTTACAACCTGCAGCACATCTTGCACAAAGTCTAGCGCATCTCTGATGACTTTGCACTTTTTCTTGCAAACATAAATTAAGACAATGCGCAAAGCAATGGACATACAGTAAATGGCAGCAGGATTGTCCCGTTTAAAGCTTGCTGCAAGTCCATTCAAATGACCAGACATATTTGTAGCCCCATCGTATGCCTGTCGCCGGCACATACTGGGCAAAATGTTGCAGCAGATGAGGATGTCCTTCAGTGCAGTGAGAATGGTGGAAGTGTCACTCTGGGGTAATTCAAATAAACCAATGAAATCCTCATGAGGGATGTAGCTGTCATCAACCCAGCGGAATAGAACCTCCAGCTGTTCTTTATTGGAAATGTCTCTGGTCTCGTCTGCTAATATTGCATAGAACCCCTCGCGAATAGGCGAAATCACTTGGCATAATACTGAACGAGAAATGAATCAGTTCAATGATAATGTCATGCTAATGTAGTTTCTGTCAGCTAACCACTGGTAAATTTCAGGACAATCCTGAACCTGTAATTCCAGTAATTTGTACAGTTTGCTGTTCGTTGGTCATTGCCATCTAAGGCCATGCCCTGACCCATGAAATATATGATGGAGGTAATCTCCTTCAGAAGTCTTTCACGCCAGTGCTTCTGTTTACCTTTCAGTAGGGCATCTAGCTGAAAGGAAGTAGGTTGCTGGGATAAATGCACATTGTAGAAGGACACTGCATTTCACTGAAACTGACAACTGAGTGTACTTTGAAAAGGCCAAACTGCAAATGGTACCAGGAAGTTATGTCAGCTGCCGTGTATGGTGCTTCGTGGTATCATGGAAAATTATTATGAATCAGAAATTCAGGCAACCTCTTTACATGTATTCAAACAACCGAGCAGATTCAGTTAAAGCCTGTTTACACAATCGGGGAGACAAAGGTAATTGAAAACAGGTAAAACATATGGGCAGGGCAATTATTAAAGAGGGAAACAGGACAACGACGAAGAGAAGTAAAACAGCAGTGGACACACAAGGAAACCTACTTCAATATAAAACAGGAAGTAAACCAAAAGTCCTAATCATGTCCATAAGTTCAAAAGAAAAAGTCTGCTGAGGGCAGACCATGACTTCTGAAAACAGTATTTACATCCAACAGTTACTGAGATGCAATGACTGACCACATATTCCAGACAAATGTTTTAATAAATCCTGTATAACATTTGGTCTTTGTCAACTCTAAGCTAATTTTTCAGGTTGTAGTTAGTGGTGTTGTGGTAGACTGCATTACATTTCTTTGTACCTTTCATATGTGCTAATGGTGAGTCAATTTTATTTGAAACATGGAAATTGCTGCTATACAACAGTAAGAACAAACTGTGGACACATGATCAGGTGTAAACAAAAACCTCTAACAAAGTTTCTCAAGTTGATAGTTACACACTTCTCAAAGAAAGGATTTATTGTTGGGTTTTAGGAATTTTGCCTGGTCACTGAAGGAAAAAGGGGAGGTGTAACGACAAACACTGATGGCTGTTAAAGCCACACTACCAGGGAATTGGCACATGTAAATGGAGCTGTTAAACCTGTTTGACAGGTCAAAATGTCTATTGTATTGGAGATCTGGTTATAAACTGGTGATACAGTAGATATGCCTTCACCGTGTTAGCACTAGATTGTGATAACCTTCAGCAAATACCATGATCAATGACAAATCTCTTTAGTGTGTTATTCAGTGTGTAATCACTATTAAAAATGTTTGTATGTTGTTATAACAGTGGTTCTCAAACTGCTGAGTTTACTGATGCTGTCGTGCTAATCTTTTTTTTTTTTTTTTTTTACTAAAATTCCACATGGATCCTATTTATTAGTTGCTTCCCCTATCATTGTTAATGATTGATAAAAAAAAATAGTGGGATGGGGTTGTGAACTTTTTCAGCCTCTAATGGGGGAATGCCAGTTTGAGAGCCACTGTTATACCAACACACAGCCTCTCTCTGCTGATTAGCAGTCAGTTTAAGAGTTGAGATGTTACGGATTTCATTTTAGGCACTTGATGGTTTAGCTCCCAGCTATACTGGTGAATTGCTGCTCCCCTATGAGCCACATTTTTTATCATTATTAAGATTATTATTATTTATAGCAATGATCCAGTAAAACAGCAATGTAAATAGTGCAGGTTTGAAAACATTCAAAAAAGGTTTTGCTAATGTTTTGAGGTAGAAAATGTACATGTGTACATGTTTGGCCTTAAACATCAATAGACTGAATGTACTGAATGTATATTTGAAACGTAGGTGCGCACCATTTCAATTTAGCAAACAAAATGGCACAAGCTGCTTATACCAACTTGAATGGACAGAACTGTGCGGGAAGTGAACAAACCACCACAGTTACCAGCAGAATTGTAAACAAACCAGACTTTTAACATAGCTCACATGGCTCATCGTAGCTTAATTCAAGTTTTGTGCTAACACAGTAGTTCTTCATTCAAAACAGTCACAGTGGAGACTCATCTGCTTAGTTATACTGTGAGACACAGTCCAGTTTTACATGGACTTTATTGCGTAAAAAGCTAATTATTAAAAATTCTAAATAAAATGTATGTAATTTATGACATAGTTCGGTGAAAATATGTTTTAATTCAAGCAAAGTCAGCTGGTTGAGTGATAGTTAATAACTTACTAACCTGCATCATCACACTGATGTTAGGTACCAGAGGGCTTGAATTTTTTCATCACAGAAATATCAATGTAACTTTGCTCCTACAACACACACAGTAAGCTAGCTGAACTAGTTGTAAGCTGTAGGGTAGTTTGAACCAAAGATGGTGTTTTTAATTTGATATCTGTGGTGAATGTGGTGATGTATGGTCACGTGAGTTCCTCAAAGATGTTCTGTGTTCTCAGGTTTTATAAACTA